CCACTATCTATTTGGAGAACATTTTATTGCCCCAAAAAGAAACTTACACACATTAGCAGTGACTTCCCATTGCTCTCCCCGCCCATCAGCCCCTGGCAACCCCTAATCTGATTTCTGTCTCTATGGATTTGCCTATCCTGGATATTTCATATAAATGGAATCATAAAATATGTGGCTTTTTGTCTGGCTTATTTCACTTAACGGTGTTTTCAAGGTTCACCATGTTTTAGCATGTATCAATACTTCACACATTTTAATAGCTGAACAATATCCATTCAATACTCAGCTGAATGTTTACCCATTCATCCATTGATGGAAATCTGGGTGATTTCCAAACTTTGGTTATTGTGAATAGTGCTGCTGTGAACAGCAGTGTTCACGTTTTTGTTGGAGCACCTATTTTCAGTACTTTAGTCAACACCTAGCAGTGAAATTCATGGGTCATATGGTAATTCTATGTTTAACTTTTTTCTTTTTTTGACTTTTTGAGAAACTACCGTCATAGTGGGTATGAAGTAGTATCTTACGGTTTTGATTTGCGTTTCCCTGATGACTGATGATGTTGAGCATCTTTTCATGTGCTAATTGTCCATTTCTATACTTCTCTGGAGAAATATCTATTCAAGTCCTTTGCCCATTTTTCAGTTCGATTCTTTATCTTTTTGTAGTTGAGCTGTAAGAGGTTTTTAAAATATATTCTAGATACCACACCTTGATCAGATACATGATTTGCAAATATTTTTCTCCCATTCTGTGGATTCTCTTTTCCCTGTATTGATACAATTCTTTGATGCACAGAAGTTTTAAAGTTTGATGAAGTTCAGTTTATCTATTTTTTATTTGTTACCTATGCTTTTGGTATCATATTTTAAAAACCATTGTCTGGGATTTACACCTGTGTTTCCTTCTAAGGTTTCATAGTCCTTATTATACATTTAGGTCTTGATCCATTATGAGTAAATTTTTGCATGCATTGGGAGGTCGAGGTCCACATTTATTCCTCTGCGTGTAGATAGCTCGTTGTCTCAGCACCATTTGTTGAAAAGACTGTTCTTTCCCCATTGAGTAGTCTTGACACCCTTGTCAACATCAATTTGCTATGCACACATGGGATTGTTTCTGGACTGTCAATGCCACCCATTGTTCTGTATGTCTATCCTTAAGCCAGCATCATGATATCTTGATTACTGTAGCTTTGTAGTAAATTTTGAAATCAGGAAGTGTGAGTCCTCCAGCTTTTTTCTTCCTTTCAAGATTGTTTGGCCCTGCCCCATCTCCCCCCATCCCCGGTTGTTCCAGCTGAAAGGCTTATCCCGCCACAAGTGCCCTGAGGAAGTGAAGCAGATGCTGCACATCCTCAGTCTGGAGGACAAGTGGGACTCGCGGAGCCGGTTCCTGAGCGGGGGCATGAAGCGCAAGCTCTCCATCGGCATCGCGCTCATAGCAGGCTCCAAGGTACCGGGCTCTGGCTCCCGCTCGGCCTGGGCTGGCTGCTGGCCCTGTGACCGCGGCCCGGGCACCTCAGCCCTGGACGCTGTGGACAGCCAGTCTGACGTGGGCCTGGGACGTGGCTCTGCGCATGATCCCATGAACAAACCTTCGCTACACAGTGAGGTGAGTGTAACCACTGAGGTGGTACAGCGCGGAGACAGCAAGAGGCACGATCAAAGCTGTACCCTTCACCGCAGAACATGTATGAATCATATGATTACCGAGAAATTTATCAAACCAGCCTCAATATCCATGACCTAAGTAATGTTCTGAGAGAAAGTAGGAGACCTACACAGTCTAGTTCCAGAATCCATCCTCCTAAGTATCCGTATCATCTTTTGGTATACATGGCTTGGCTGAACTAAGCCCCTCATGGCTATGAAACATTTACTATTAATTTTAACTTTGTATCATTTAAAGAATCATGGGCAAGGTCTTATGGTAATGGCAAACTAGGAAGTTCTGGCCCCTCCTGCTGATGATAACTAGAAACATTGGACCAAATGTATCAAACATCTGTTTGAAGGTTTCAGAAAGCCAACAAGATAGTGAAAACTAGGTATTAAGAAAAAAATTTTTTCAGAGAAACAAAAACGGAGAGAACTTACCACCACCAGATGTACACAAAAGGAAATAATAAAGCATCAGTGTCAGGCGGAAGGAGAATGATCCCAGACGGAAAGATACAGAAAGGAATGAAGAGTGATTTTTTTAAAAAAGGCAAATGTGTGAGTTTTGACTAAAAGCTGTAATAATAATATTTTAATAATGTCTCATGAGGTTTAAAATATGTATAAAATTAAAGTACCTGGAAACAATGGATTTAAGTCAGGAGTCAACTGAATGGAGTTCAAGTATTAAATATTCGAAGGTCCTTGCCTTGTTAATGAATAAAGTGAAGAGTTAATATTATTCATTGCTGAGTCAAGGATGCACGTCTTAGTCTCTAAGGAAACAAACAAAATAATGGGAGGAAAGGAGGAGTATGTACCTTTTAAGCTAATAGAGGAAAAAATAGAAAAATGAAAAAAGTAATGTGACAGAAGATAAGAATTGAGAGGGAAAAAAAAGAACATAGAACATATGGGATAAATAATACCTTAAACTTAGGAGTAAGGAACATAAGGGATAAATAGATACCCGTGAATAAGACTGTAGATTTTACATCCAAATACGAGGTCTGTTCAGAAAGTATCCAGCCATTGTATCCATGTATCATTGCATCCATGGCTGGATATTTTCCGGACAGCCCTCATATATTAGTAATTACATTACATATAAATGGAATAAAGACGCTAATCAAAAGATTTAAATTATCAAAACTGGTGGCTCATGCCTGTAGTCCCACTACTTTGGGAGGTGAGGGCAGGAGGGTTGCTTGAGCCCAGGAGTTGGAGGTTGCTGTGAGCTAGGCTGACACCACGGCACTCTAGCCTGGGCAACAGAGCAAAACTCTGTATCAAAAAAATTTTTAAATAAAAATTTAAAAAATTAAATGTTTAAAAAATAAATAAATAAATAGAATAAAAAAGAAATAGAAAACTTGCACACATCAAAACTGGAGGTAAAATTGAAATGATGGTTAAAGACTACTTCTTAACAGTCTCTAGACTGAAAGGGACTGATAAGCGAGCCCACAGCCATCACAGAATAGGTCACTTCCTTCTCATGTGACCCATTCCAAAGCACGGGAGAAGGCAGATGCACCCAACTGATGAGTGGTAGCAAAAGCAGACAAGAACAGCACCCAAAACGAGCCCTAGGCCTGCTTCACACGGGAACACAATATCCTAAATAAGATATTACCAGTGCAAAAGACCAGTATATTGAATGCATAAAAAGTAAGATCAAGTCATTTATCCCAGAAATGTGATTAAGGTCCAGCAGTATAAAATCCACCAATATAAATCATCACCTTAATAGACTAAAGGAGAAAAATATTTATTCAATATATATTGGGAGAGCATTTGACAAAAACTCAATACCCGGTCATGATTTTTTAAAATTCTTAGCAAATTAGAAACAGAAGAAACATTAAGTTAAAATCACTTGATAAAAGCAGTCTATTAGAAAGCTTCGTATTTAACAGTGAAATATTTGAAGCCTCCTTATCAAGTCATTTGTGTCTTTCTTCTCAGCAGTTCCCTCAGGCCTGGGGACATCTGTCATCCAGGGAAGCCCCACTGCGGGAGCCAACGCCCTGCCCTTAATTGTGGGCAAACATTCTTCCCTGCTGACAGCCGCCTCCCTTCCCTCTTTCCCGGAGCAGACCTCCAAGTGGCTTTCTGTTTTGCACCCTCCCCACAGGCGGTGCAGCCCAGGGCCGTCCAGCCGCTTGAACGGGGAGGGAGGGAGGATGGGTAAATAGGAGGGAAAAACGTGGGTTACTTTTGAGAAATGGCACCTGCTACTCTCAGCAGCTGGTAGCATGTGAACCTGGGCACAAACCAAGGTGCTTAGCTGTAAGTTTATAATGGCAAAAACGTGGAAGTAACTCAAATGTGGCTGAATTTTTTAAACAAATAAAATCTGTAAACCTTCCCTGGATGACTAAGCAGCAGTTAAACTAAGTGGCAGTGGGGTCTGTACTTACTGATCAAGGAAGATTTTAAGACATGATCTTGAGTTAGGAAAGCACATTACAGAGTGGTAGACACGGGATGATACTGTTCAGCAAAAACAACACACGCTCGGCCCCGGGCAGGGCCACACGTCCGAGTTGGTGCCTGTGTTATGGGAGCCTGGAGCATGTGCACCAGCCTGACCACTGGGCCTGGGCCGGGCCCCTAGCAGAGACACCAGTAGCGTTTGTGTGAATATTTTACAAAAAAAGTCTATTTTCATATTATTAGTCTAGTCTAATAAAAAATATTTCTAAAGGAGGAGAAAAATTAAGCAAGTCTTTTCTATTGACCAGACACTTCAAAAATGACCATGAAGGCGCTGGGTGCTGAGGTTTTACGACAGGTGGGCAGGAGCCACGTGAGCGCTCCCCTCCACGTGAGCGCTCCCCTCCACGTGCGCCCTCCAGAAATGTCCTGTCCACGGAGGCCACCAGCAAGGGCTGCATCTCAGGCTTCCTAACGTGATTATAATCACGTGTACACCACGAATATTCATGTGGCAAACGTGGGCATTGACAGGGCAGAGGCAGGAGCCTGGAGCAAGGCCTGGCAGGTGTCCAGGCCCCACCTAATCTTGTGAACCTGGTGGGAGGAGGCTTCCCTCTGACATGCCTCCCTCTCTGGGCTGTGTTCTAACCCCAGGTGCGGCGCTGGATCGGTTACTGTCCTCAGTTTGATGCTCTGCTGAACTTCATGACAGGCCGTGAGATGTTGGTCATGTTTGCCCGGATCCGGGGCATCCCCGAGCGCTGCATTAGTGCTTGTGTGGACCAGATTCTTGATGATTTAGCCATGGACGTGTACGCCGATAAGCTGGTGAAGACCTACAGGTGAGGTCTGGGGCTTTCCTTGACCTCCAGTTACAAGACGAGCCCCAGTTCTTCTCAGCACTGGAGTGCAGGGCACAGCCTGTCAGCTTCGGGCACGGGGGCTGGTCTCTGTGCCCTGTAGACAGCCAATGTGGCTAAGGACAGACTAATGGCACCACAGGTGTTATTGTCCTGACAAGGTGAGGACAGACCGTGCTTCCTGCCACTTCACAAAGGGCTTTCTGTATTTGGTAGGTTTGCATTTTAAGTCCACGGTTACTACATACCCCTGTGTCTGGGCCATTTGAACTGCTGATGTTCTGCTTGAAGAGCCTGAGGCATTCATTCCTCAAGCTTCTGTTGCCAGTGTTAGAAACCCAACTCCAGGGAACTTAAAGCAAGGCCACCTGCTGTCTGTGTCCAAGGCCTCCCTTCGCGTTGTGCGCAGTGCCCTTGGAGGTGCATGGCGGTACTGCAATCCGGGACTAGGAAGTCCAGAGATGCCGCTGACCTCTGTCTGGCACAGTGGACCCTGCAGTCAGATGACAATGTCCTTAGCTCTTCCCTCTCTGTTGGCTTCAGGTTTTCATGTTTCCTTGTACCTTCTGAAGGTCAAATGAGTTTACATTTGCAAAGTTTAGTGCCTTTCATACATAGTAAACGCTACATGTATTTAAAAAAATAGCTAAAATGGACCTATGCCCTTATTCTCAGATAGAGGAGAAGCGCCCTCCCCCCACAACACCCATAGAGACCCTCAAAGAAGACTCATGGACCTGTGCGCACCTTGGACTAATCCCTGTGTCCAGGGGAATGTTTTATCCCGAGTGGACGGCCCAAGTCACAATTCAGCCCTGGGTGAAGGTGTCAGGGCCACGTTTCTGAGAGCCTCCTGGGGGATGTGGGAGCACTTCCTGAACAGAGGAGGAGAGAGGGGTGGGTGTTGAAACCGCAGGGTTCACCGCTGGAGACCGATGATTGCCATTCACCGGGACCTTCTCCCTCTGCCACAGTGGCGGTAACAAGCGGAAGCTGAGCACCGCCATCGCCCTGATCGGAGAGCCTGCGCTCATCTTCCTGGATGAGCCGTCCACTGGCATGGACCCCGTGGCCCGGCGCCTGCTCTGGAATGCCGTGGCCCGGGCCCGCGAGTCCGGCAAGGCCATCGTCATCACCTCCCACAGGTAGAGCCTGGGTCTCTGTGGGTCAGCAGCAGAATCAGAATCAGGTCCGTGGGAGGGCTGGGCTGGCAGGGGCCAAGTCACAGAGGACCTGTCAGCAGCTGGCACAGAGTCTGTGAGGAGATCCCCGAGCCCTACACGTGGGCCACACTCCCAGCAGGGGCGCCAGAACAGCCCCATCTGGGTGTGGACACCTTCCTGTCTGCACAAGCCTGTGACACCCAGGGCAGGCGTCAGCGTCCCCCAGCCCTGTCTCAGGCCTCTGCCCCCTCTCCCCAGCATGGAGGAGTGTGAAGCCTTGTGCACCCAGCTGGCCATCATGGTGCAGGGCCAGTTCAAGTGCCTGGGCAGCCCCCAGCACCTCAAGAGCAAGTTCGGCAGTGGCTACTCCCTGCGGGCCAAGGTGCGGAGCGAAGGGCAGCAGGAGGCGCTGCAGGAGTTCAAGGCGTTCGTGGACCTGACCTTCTCAGGTGTGTGGCAGCCCTGGCAGCCCCCGCCGGGTGGGCCCTGGGCCCCTGCCTAGCCCTCTCCCAGCCACTGTGCAGAGGGTGTCTGTGCCTCACCCCTGCCAAGTCCCATCTCCCTGACCCCTGGGACAAGGGCCCCCTCCAGCCCAGCCCTCACAGGAACACGGTCTCTGTGTCATGCAGGCAGTGTCCTGGAAGATGAACATCAGGGGATGGTCCAATACCACCTGCTGGGCCATAACCTCACCTGGGCAAAGGTGAGTGCATGCCTCTGACATGACCCACTTTCTGGGGTAACTCGGTTTCTCTCTCTCCTCCCACCCCCCAAGTAGTATTCAGTGCTCCTGCTGTCCTCTGATGTCTCCATGGCAGTGTTCACATGGATTTCATAGCACATAAGGTGTTTGAGCTGGAAGGGACCTAAGAGATCAGCTTTTCCTGCTCCCTCATTTCACAGAGAGGGGACGCTACTTGTCCAGGGTCACTCGCAAGCCAGGGAACCAGCTAGGCCTTTGCCCTTCTGGCAGCATCCCCAACCCGAGGGTACACACAGCTGAGTTCCATAGGGCTGACTTCTTGGAAGGTGCTCTGGAGCAGGTGAAAGACAGATAGGACTCTTGGGGGCCTTGTCACAATCCCAGAGGCCATCCCGTTTTCGACCCTCTCTGCATCCTGTCTCCTCCCCTGTGTGCATTGTCTGTGGGAGAGCCTGTCCACAGCAGCCTCCTCCCTTCCTACAGGTGTTTGGCATTCCGGAGGAAGCCAAGAAGAAGTACATGTTGGAGGACTACTCAGTCAGCCAGGTCTCCCTGGAGGACGTCTTCCTGAGCTTCACCTGCCCTGTGCCCCTTGTCAAAGGAGAAGACCACCAAGGGCAAGCAGGCCCCTCATCACCCTCCCTGCCTCCCTCAGAGCCTGTTCTGCTGTAATAAAGACATCCTAATGTCAGGTTAGCCCAGGTGTGCATGGCCGGCCATGAGTTGCAAAGGGTCCAGAGGTAGCTTGCAGCCCAGCAAGCTCAGTGCAGGCTCTTTCCAGACTGCAGAGCAGAGTGGGGCCCATTGTTTAGAGACCTGATTGAGAACCCTGGTGCACCTCAGTAGAAAGGGATGCTCCCAAGTCCTATCTGGGTGGCCTGTGGTCTCATTGAGACCTGAATGTGGAAGTAGCCTCAGAGGAACACCTTGCATGTCCTCTCAAAAGGCAGTGGCCGGGGTAGGGGGTGACCACAGTAGTAATTATGGCCCTGCCTGATGCTGGCTCTTTGCTCAGTCCTCTGCATGCATCATGTCATTTGACCTTTCCACCCTTAGGCCCAGGCTCAAGGGGCCTGAGAACAGGCTGCGGAGGGCTACTCCCTGGCCATGCCCTTGCTCATGGATGAGAAGTCTGCAGGGCTGAGGGGAGTGTGCCCTTCCTTACCCAGAATCCCCTGCCCAGACAATCTTCCCATCCAGAGCACCTTCCCAGGGCAGGCCATGCCACCGGCACGTATCCTGAGAGCCGAGGTGAGGCGAGGCAGAGGGCTGTCTGCAGAACTGTGGGCAGTCTGGACGGATGTCCGGGGTGTGCACACGTGTGCATCCAGATCCCTCGGCAAACAAGATGGAGCCAGAAATGAGAGAAAAGGGGGCAACCACAGACCAGGGCTGGAGCTGGTCCCCCGTATAACACCATATTCAGCTTGGAGCCTCACAGAGACCGTGGATTCTAAGCTCAAACCTGGTCTCCCAGGTTATAATGACACTTTTCCTGAAGGTAGGAGGAAGGAACATGTTGGTGAGAAGTCACAATTTTTCTATATGTAAATATTTCGATTTGTGGGCCTTCATTCTCTTCCTTGGCTCCTGCAGATGTTAGGGGTGGGCCTGAATGTGCTCTCACATCAACTCACGAAGTAGACATTACCCCACTTCCCAGCGAGTAAGCCACACTTAGCGATATTCTGCAGCGCTGCACAGCTAGCAGGTAGTAAAGCCAAGAGTTTCTCAAAGTGGTCCCCAACCAGCAGCAACAGCATCATCTGAAAACTTGTTAGAAATGTAAACTCTCAGATGCCCTGCCCACCCCCCGCCACACCTGTTGAATCAGAAATTCTTGGGGCAGAGCCCAGCAATCTGCGTTGGACCAAGCCCTGTAACAGGTGCTTCTCGTGGAGCTCGGGTGTGAGAACCCAACGTGCTGCACACCCATGCACACTCCAGATGCAGGTGGATGAGGCCGTGTGCCTCTGTCACGTGGAGGCTCACCTCTCCTCTACATGCGCTCCATCCAGCAGCCCTTCTCTCTCTGTTGAGCTGTCCCTGCCCCTTGCCGTGGGCCCCTCAGCTCCCCTCTGGGTAGTGCAGATGGTGTTCTCTGTCCCTTCTCAGCCAAGATTCAGGAAGTGTCATCCACAGGCCTAGCCCACACTTCCTATGGCCCCTCACCCAAAACACAGCATGGACACACCCTGGTCACCACACATCAAACTTCACAAGGTCCCTGCTCCCTGGCCTCTAACCCCCCCACATCTGATCTCCTCATTCCCCCATTGTCTTCCTCTCTCTGAATGGTGGGATGCTTCAGGCTCCCCACCAACTTCACTTTTCCTTATTCCACGCTGCACCCTGCCACCCTTGAGCTTTTTTCTCATTCACCCCAGGCCTTCAACTCACACGTTTTTCCACCACAAACATCCCTGAACTTCCAACAATCTAGACTTTTCTAACGAGTTCTCTCACTATCCTACAGCCCAACGGGAAATGGACTGGTGTCATACCCTGGAGGAGTGGCTCCTTACCCCAGCACAGCCCTAGATGCTCCAACTGCCAGTGCAGGGGGGGTGGGGGCAGGCATGGCTGCAGCATAACCTACAGCTGTAGCTAAGAGAACACCTTTTCCTAAAAAATAAGAAAAGTGTGCCACTGAATAAGTAAAAGAGAGTGATTAGGACACAAAGAACGAGATAGAGTTAAAGGACAACCTAGGGACTTTGAGGAACCAGGGATGCTGTCACTGATTCTATGACGACAGCATCACAGCAGAGTGGGACCAGGGAATGTGGCTGATCTGCTCATTGTTGGATTTAGTTTATCAATCCCTTCGAGGGGCGAGTAGAAGCTAACACTGAAAGTGCACCTCTGCCCCGGGGGAGACAGGGAACAAAGTAACACAGGGCAGGGGAGGAGGACAAGGTAACAAACTGGGAAACAGTAACCCATGGGGACAAGGTGTGGCAAAGGGATGAGGAATCTGAGGTCCCACCATGGACTACTCCCCTTGCTTTGTTAAAAATAATTTTATTCTTTCATTTGCATAGATGCCTATTTTATTATTGTTTTGTTATATCCTGTGTTTTTGTAATTCTTTATTCTTATTAAAATTCTTTACTTTTTTGTTTTTCTACTGGCAAGTATGTAGAGCAGCCTCCCCTTGCTCTTGTGAGGGCGTGTGGGGCACCGGGGGAGCAGGCCCCCAACTGCCGAGCTCTGTCCACTCCTTGCCCTTCCTCCACTGCCTTCCAGGGGCTGGGGCAAGGAACAGTCCCAACTTCAGCGAGGGCCTCTGGGACGACTGGCACTGGCTCAGAGCCTTGACACCACGCACTGGCCGAGCACCCTGGAGGGCTTCAGGAGCATGAGAGAGTGAGGGGAGGGAGGAGAGGGGAGATCCTTGGCCCAGACCCCTGGCGCCTCCAGGAACCGCCACTCTGTCCCCACCAAACACGCTCCAGGTGAGCGCATGTCCTCCCTTGACGACGTCTCAGGAAGCGAGCCAGTTTCTAAAGGACAGGCCGGATGGGCCCTGCCCAACGCGGAATGAACAGGGCGCGCAGGCGAATTTGACATTCCCCGTGGCTTCCTAAAACATTCCTTTTCAGGAAGAGCTCCCAGGTGGCGGTGAGGAGAGACTGGGGACAGACGGCACAGCATCTGGTCAAAGTGGGGGTGGGACAGAGGAAGGTGCGGGGTCAGCCACAGTCCGCGGAAGAAAGGGAAACGCGCGGGTTGCGCCGACGAAGCCTTGGAGCCGGGGTCATCTCCCCGCACGGCTCGACCCCCAAACCAGGGGTCTCCACCGCAACACGCGGCGGAAAGACGGTCCTGCGGGCTCAGGTCGGGGCCCAAGTCCCCCATCCCCTGCCACCGCACGGGCCTTCGCGGCCCACCGCGCCGCGACTTCCGGTCAGCGGGGAGGCGGGAGGCCGCGCAGGCTCCGCCAATCAACGGCCAGTGTTCGAATTCGCGTCCTGGCGCGGCCAATCGCGGGCGCGCGCAGCCGGCGGGGCGGGCGGGGCCGGGGCGGGGCGGGCGGCGCCCCCCGCACAGGCCAATGGGAGCGCCGGGCGCGTTTGAAAACTGGGGCGGGCGGCGGGAGGGGCGGCGCCTGCGCGGGGCGGCGCTCACTGGCCGGGCGCGGGCGCGCTTGAGGGAGGCGCGGGCTGCTGCGGAGCCAGCGCGGCGATGGGGAGCGGCGGCGGTGAGTGCGCGGGGCGGGCGGGAGGCGGAACTGCCGCGTGGGGACGGCGGGTCCTGCGGGAGGAGAGGCCCGACGCGGCGGGCACGGCGGGCTCGCGCCCCTTTCCCCGAGCGGGGGTCGCAGCCGCCGCCGCGCACGCTCTACGCGCGGGGACCCCCCAGCCCCAGCCGCCCGCGTCCGGGGTGCGGGTTTGAATGCCCGGGCAGCCCGCATCCGCTCGAGGCGCCTCCTGCCCGTTCCCGGGAGGGCAGAGGCTCACGCCAACTGCTCCTCCGGTTCAGGGGTCGGGGCTTCCCGAGCGGGCGACCCCGTCGGCTCTGCCGCCTAACGTCCCGTCGGGTCACCTGCGGGCCGCTCGCTGGGCACCTCGGGGACGGGCCGCGGGCGCCCGCGCTGCCGGGTCCTTGTCAGTGGGCGCCAGCGGGGCCTGCGCCCTGTGAGAGCTTCGCGCCTGGCCCGGCACGTGCCGAGGGCTCCGTGGACCTGAGCTGCGATGTCAGTTATTATGGCAGTGATTATTACATTCTCCAAGTGTCCGTCCTAGAGCAAGAGAATGAGGAACCTCTTATGGTAAAGCCCGTATGATCTGTAGGAATTAGCCGCCGCGGGAGTACGCTTGGCATTTGCAGGACATCTAACTGCTGACAGGAAGACCCAGGTGGGGGGCGGCAATCGCTGGAGAAGCCCTGGGGAGGGTCCCTGCAGACAGGAGGGCAGCCTCTCTGTCAGGAGTGAAAGGAGGAATGGGTAGAAAGGGACATTTGGGGGGGGGACAGGGGCAGGCAGGCTCTTGAGATTCCTGTCTAGGGACTTGTCCTCTCCTGTGAGACAGGGCCAGGTCATCTGCTTGGAAGGAGGAAGGGACGGCCGGAGTGGCAGCACCACGGTGAGGAGCAGGGGACACAGAGCTCTTCAGGGAAGGACGGCCGGGCAGCCGCTTCTCCTTTACTAACTGAACTTGTGTAGGTCTAGGTTTGTGTTGGGATCTGTCAACTCCCCATTTTACAGAGGAGGACAGAGACTCGGGCTGGGCAGCTCTGCAGAGCCGAGAGTCAGACTCGGACTGGCCTGGCCTCCAAGTCTCTTGCTTCTCTCCAAGGCTGACCCTCCTAATTTGAACTCGAAAACTAGCCTCTTCAAGTCTGTAGATCTTTATTGAACATTATGCTTTTTGGTCATATGTACAGAAAAAGCAGGAGAGCTACCCAGCAAGGGCCCAAGGGCCTTCCTGAGAAGTAATTGCGAGAAAAGCCATCCTCAGCGTTGGCCGCTTTCCCCTTCCTGGTTGTCATGTGGGTTCTGGGTCAGAAACTTTCTCAGTAGCCAAGTTGCATGATGCCTGCTTTTCTCCATAAGTATTTGTTGAATATTTGAACGGCTGATGATGTCTTCTGTAATTTGTACAGTGCTGCTCCTTTATTTAATCTTTGTTTGGGACTAGAAGTATAGTTAGTTCCTTCTCTTGTGGGGCAGGGGATGGTAACTATTACATCATCTTCAGATATAACCTTTCATCTTACTGAGACTCCTGGGTTTGTTTGTTTCCTAAGTGGTCCACTGTAGGTGTGCCAAGTGTTTCTGTTATCCTACGAAGCGAAGAATAAGAAGGAGGCCCCGAAGCCTAACCATCTTGAGTCTCCCCGAAGATGTGCTCTTTCACATCCTGAAATGGCTTTCTGTTGGGGACATCCTCGCTGTCCGAGCTGTAAGTCGCCAGATGAAAACAGTGTCAACGCTAGCTCTGTTGCTTATACCATCAGGGCCTCGTGTCCTTAAGTGTCAGAGCAAAACCTTGCCTACAAAGGGGGGCAAAAGAAACAAGGACGATGTTGTTAGTAGGTGCTTGAAGATGTTCTGGTTACAGGAACAGGACACTAACGTTTGCCTCTATTCATCGTAGTGTTTATTTGGACAGAGAAAGTTCCCTTTTATGGTAGTGAAATTTGCATCCCTTGAGAAATAAGATAATATTACACAGAATAAAAATATATTTTTTAGGACCAATCCCATGTAACATCCAACACTGAGATGGACTCTAGGAGTTGTTTTTATAGATACTGAAACCACAACCTCACTGTGAGGTACTTAACCGGTGGTATACACTGAATTTGTGGGAAAACTCCAACGAGAACCCATTTCCTCACTCCCAGAGGCACCTCCATTACCTGCGATACATTTTATAGAACCCAGGGGGTGCTGAATTTCCAGTGGTCGTGGACACTGTAGCACTTAAGATGCTCCTCTGTGTTCCTGGCCTGGGTGCTTCCTGTGTCTGCCAGGGCAGAGGCCGCGGGTGCTACCTGAGGCCAGCATTGCAGCTGTCAGTCTTTTCCTGAAGTCCCTTTGAGCTCCAGGCCACACACCCACCAGCAAGGCCTTGGATAGAGAAGCGCAAAACAGGTTTCTGTCCTACCTGCCCCCATTTAGAGTCAGTTTCCCCAGTCCTTGTAGGTATATACCTTTGCAGAGATGTGGTCCCCGCTTCCTCACCTGGGTGCTCTTTCCTCTCTTCAGAACCATTGTCCCTTTCCCCCTCTTTAGAATTTCAGAGAAACTCATTTCTGGGCTTGCTTCTCTGTCCAGAGCAGCTGTTACTTGTATACACAGAGACTGGGGTCCTTTACTACATGGGATTGGGATGGCGACTGGAGACCCTCTGTCGACGGCATGTCTTCAGGAGCTTCCAGGAGTGAGTTTCAGGTGGCCCCCCAGTAATCCACCCCTGGCTTTCTTGTTCTACAGGTACACTCCCACCTCAAGGACCTGGTGGACAACCATGCCAGTGTGTGGGCGTGTGCCAACTTCCAGGAGCTGTGGCCTTCTCCAAAGAACCTGAAGCTCTTTGAAAGGTACCCTGCACCCTGAGAACAGCTCTGTTCCCCTTGCCTTGGGGCTTCCCAGTGTGCCAGCCGGTGTCCCAAAGCCTGATTCAGGAATGATTTTCCTGTTGGTGTCTCCCATGTCACTGCCTCATCCTTGGGACTTACTGAGGACTGTAGACCTCACCCATCGAGCCACACGCCATGTCATCGGTCCTCCTCCATGACACTGGGACAGGCCCACGGTGCTTCCAGAGGGTTCCCACATGACCCAAACATGAGTCACTTGCATATGGACACTTTACGCAGCCTTCTTTTCCTTTGGTCAAAGCCATGGGATGTCAGTTATACTGCATTTCACTCCTGGGCTGATCCCGCTGCCTGTGCCCCACGGGCCAGCAACCAGCCCCACTGCACAAGTGTGCTGGTGGTACCAGGCTCAGCTTGAACTTTAACAAACTGAGAAGCCACAGCTTGGGACGGGATTTTTCTGACCAGAGGGCACACTGGCCCTCATCCAGCTGAGTTGCCAGAAATCCAGTTAACAAGTACAGGCCGGCTGTGTTGCCTTGGCCACACTTGAGCTACTTCTGGATAAAATGTGTGTATTTCTTAGTGAGACATGATACACACATCATACAATTCACCCATTTAAAGTGTGCAACTCAGTAGTTCTTACTAGTCAATTGTGCAAACATCACCACATAAAACTTTAGAATATTCTCATTACCCCAAAAAGAAACCTTGTACCCATTAACAGTCACTCCCCATTTTACAATCCCCGAAACCCTAGGCAACCTCTAGTCAATTTTCTGTCTCTGTGGCTTTGCCTATTCTGAACATTTCATGTGAATGGAATCATACGATACGCGGACTTTGCAACTGGCTTCTTTCGCAGAGCCTGATGTTTTCAAGGTTCATGTATGACATAGCATGTAATGGATAATTCATACTTGACTATATTATGTAAAAAAATGTTCTATTCAGAAAACAAATATTCCAGCTTCAAGTGCTATATGGTGTTGCGTAACCTTCGTGGCATCAAACAGCGTGGTGTTTGTGTTCCTGACGTTTTAGGGCTGCTGAGAAGGGAAATTTTGAAGCCGCCGTGAAGCTGGGCATAGCCTACCTCTACAACGAAGGCCGTAAGTCATCCCCGCCTGGGCACTGACGCTGCTGTCCTGCTGTGTCTCACGGTCTGCCTAACTGTCCCTCTCAGGAGCTTGTGCACAGATGTCCCCTGCCGAGGGACCCATTGATGATGTGACTTTGTAGGTTACGAGAGTCACTTCCTGTCTTAGCAAGCCCGTTAATCTTGTTGGCAAAGAATGACTCTGAGTCAGGGACCCTCAATGGGGGCTCCCCCAGCAAACCAGCCTTTCCCCGGGCTCCTGCCCCATCTTGCTAACGCCAAGGCTGACATGTAGACACCCGCTCCTCTCTTTGGCCATCCTCTGTGGGACTCTGAGGCGGAGGTCAGTGTGTTTAATCCCACAGGGTGTCAATAGTACCAGTAGCCACAGTTCTAACCCAGAAACAGGTGCAAGCAGGCCAGGACTGGCCTGGTGCCTAGATTCCTGCATCCCCAGAGGCCAGGTACTCCTGAAAGAACCTTTTGCCACCCTTCTTTTAAACAGGGTCTTGCTCTGTTGCCTGGGCTAGAGTGCCGTGGCGTCATCATAGCTCACCGCAACCTCAAACTCTTGGGCTCAAGCGATCCTCCTGCCTCAGCCTCCCAAAGTGCTGAGATTACAGGTGTGAGCCACTGCACCTGGCCACAGCCTTTTCTTCTACCAGTTCCTGCTCAGCACCCCAAGGAATGAGCCCGCAGTCTGTACTATCCCACCTTCCAAAACATATAAAGACTGGGGTAAGCTGGGTGCAGTGGCTCATGCCTACAATCCCAGCAATTTGGGAGGCCGAGACCAGGTCTTTGAGACCTGGGCAACATAGCAAGACCCCATTTCTACAAAATATAAAAAAATTAGCCAGGCATGGTTGCAGGGAGGTGGCCACACTCCCCGCAAAAAATGGGGTCCCTTTGGTAGGGTTGCAAGGGATAAGAAAATAATAGAGAATGGAAAATAATGGAAATAAAAGAATACACAGAGACGAAAGTATAGTTTTATAGATTTATAAAGATTATAGGCAAAGCAGGTGCTCAGGGGGCCTGGATTTCTCCGTCAATCTCAGAGGCCAGTCAATCTCAGAGGCCACTGAAGTTTTACATGGTCATTTATAGGTACAGTTATCAGTTGCCAGGGGTAACAGATTTACATAACAACAGGTAGTTCCTCTTAGGTTAACAGTTTTTCAAAAGGCTTCTTCAGATCCCTTAACTAACTCTTTCTATGTGAACAAATGGTTACAAAATCTTTCAAAGTCTAACTTCTAAGTTCTAAGGTAAATTTATCACTTAACAGAGGGGTTAAACAGAGATATATTGGCTCCATATTTCCTTTATCAGGTTATTGTGAATGGAGACCAGTAGTCCGGAGTTTTAAGCAGGAACTGTCCCTTGGGCTAATTGCTTATAGCCAGGGTGGCTGTTTGAGGCGGGCACTCTTTGATCAGCTCTCATCCTGTAGTTTATAGCAGAACTGCTTTGCTTTACAAAGCAAATCCAAACCTCTAGGTCTGAGAATTGAGGCGCCTTGTGGGATACAGCTGCTACTGTCTTTCAGAGATGCCCTCCTGAGGTGAAACAGCTTTTGATATGCAAACTAACACATTCACATATTCCTTCAGGGCAAAGCTCTGCAAAACTCCTGAGACGTTTCCTATCTCCAATATATTTATATTAATTCATGGAGTAACACATGGTGGTGTGCACCTGTAGTGCTGTTTGGGAGGCTAAGGCAGGAGGATCGCTTGAGCCCAGGAATTCAAGGCTGCAGTGAGCTATGATCATGCCACTGCACTCTAGCCTGGGTGACAGAGTAAGGACCCTGTCTCAAAAAAACTGGGGTGTAGCCCACCATGTTCCTACTTCTAAAAGATCAAGTGTCTTGCTGAGAGATCGTCCCTTCCCTTGTCCCTGCCCAGAATTGTTGTGACTGCAGAGACACTGACCAACCTCCCCTTCCTTCCTGTTGAGGAGGGCCAAGCTCCTGCCCCCACCTTCCCATCAGAGAGCAGTTCCAACATGTAATGTGCACACCATACAGTTCAGGCATCTGAAGTATACAGTTCACAGAGCTGTGCAGCCATGTCCTCTGTCTAATTTTAGAGCATTCTTGTCCCCAGAAGAATCCCCACCCCCTACCCTGCACGCATTAGCAGGGTTCAGGCAGTGGCTCCCAGCTGGAGGGAGGATGGCATGAAAAGCCTCTGTGGGGCTCCCTTCCCGGCCTGCAGAGTCCAGGCCCTGGGAGGGCTACAGCAGGGCATGTGGTCACAAACGCCCAGCGCTCTGGGCCTTAGCGGGAGAAAGGGGAGGAGCACCGTCCTGGAGGGCTCTTCCCTCCCAAGACACCAGCAACTTCTCACTGTGGTGGGCTTGAGGTTTTAGACTTTCTGCATTCCGTCCCCCGAGACATGCCTGGGTTCTGTCCTGTCCATCCCTGCAGTGTCTGTGTCTGATGAGGCCCGTGCAGAAGTGAACGGCCTGAAGGCCTCTCACTTCTTCAGTCTGGCCGAGCGGCTGAGTGTGGGTGCAGCACCCTTCATCTGGCTCTTCATCCGCCCGCCCTGGTCGGTGTCCGGCAGCTGCTGCAAGGCCGTGGTGCACGAGAGCCTCAGGGCAGAGTGCCAGCTACAGAGAGTGAGTCCCAGGACACAGGAAAACCCTGAGCCCAGACCCTGTGGGCCACATGAGGTCAGGAACCTCGGCGAAGTAGGGGTGCAGTTACGGGGCCCGTTGGAGAGTAGGAGGCCTCAGAGGCAGGGGTGGACCGCGGGGTTCTGGGTGGACGTGCTGACAGCTGGAAATGCGGAGGGGCTGCACGGAGCCTGAGACTGAAGTCAGGGGCTGGTCCTCTGCAGGGCAGGGGCCGTGAGGACACAGGCTGCGGGAGGGGCTGGCAGTTCTCTCCGCTCACGATCACGCTGCTCTCTCCCTTTTTCCCCAGACTCACAAAGCGTCCATCCTGCACTGCCTGGGCAGAGTGCTAAGTCTTTTTGAGGTGAGTCAAGTTGCTCACTGCACTCGGGCTTTGCATGTTTGACGCACCCCTGGCCGAGATCCAGGAAGTACTTGAAAAGCAGCACAAAGGGGTGACCAAGGCCCATAGCACAAGCGGACAGGCCCTCGTGGAGCCAGTGGCTCGTGTGGACTGGCCACGGGCTTGGATCTTGGCTCCACCCTCACTGCCTGTGTGGCCCCAGGCGAGTGACGCGACCCAGCCTCCCAGTGCCGGTGAGAATTGCAGAGTAGGACGCAGGGGGCCCAGAACACGAGGTGCCAGCTCCCTGCCTGGTGGCTCTGCTGCTGGGGGGCCTCTCCTGCTCAGGCGGACCCCTCTGTCCTTCATGCCCTCATGGGCTTTGTCGTCAGTGACCTCCTTCGCGACACATGTAGGGATGGTGGTGGCTTGTAGAGACAGATGCGGCAAAAGCATCGGGGAGGGATGCTGAGGGGAGAGGCCCCGAGAGCCACCAGCGCCACTGTCCAGGCAGCTCAGGCCAGCTCCTTTGGTGCACGAGTGAAGGGCAGGCCCTTGCGTGGCACAAAGCTAAGCCAGGGATCCCCAAACCCCATTCAGGAAGACTGCAGGCCCTGAGGCCACGCGCCCCATTCACGCTCCTGCTGGGTGTCGCGTGGTGTATCTTTAGAGAAGTCATTTCTGCTCTGATTTAGGGAGCTCACCTCACTAAAGGCAAGAGCACCGGTGTGATGACTATGGGGCGGGCAGAGGGTGGCTAGTACGACGGCTTGACATCGAACAGAGTGAGGACCAGCAGTGCCGGGTCTCCCTCCAGGATGAAGAGAAGCAGCAGCAGGCCCGTGACCTGTTTGAAGAGTCCGCTAATCAGGGGTGTTTGACCAGCTCGTACCTCCTCTGGGAAAGTGACAGAAGGACAGATGTGAGTGCACCCAGGTCTGGGGAGAGGAAGAATTACGTTGGCCAAAGGCACATTCTCTAAACTGGCCCTTGGACAAGATTCTGTCAGCAAGAGGGAGGATCCTCTTAGAGCTCCTGGACCCTCTCGGCCCCGCAGCCCCGGGACAGTGGCTGCTGTTGGCACCCCAGAAAGGACCACTATGCTTTGAGGGATGACACGCGGGAAGCAGCACAGCCAGGGACTTTCCAGGGGTGTGGGGGAACATTTAAGAACCCCGTGGGTCAGTTCTTAGTTCATCCCAAGACACAACCGCATAAAGGCTCAGTGACTTTCTCCCGTTGGCAGATGTCGGATCCTGGACGGTGTCTCCACAGCTTCCGCAAACTCAGGGACTACGCTGCCAAGGGCTGCTGGGAAGCACAGGTGACGTGGGGAGCTGGCCTTTCTCCGTACGGCCTCGGGGCGGTGTTGCCTGGGCCCCCTCACAGGAGGTCAGGACTGGGGGGGGTGCAACAAAATCGGTGCAGGACTGGAGCCGAGTCTTAAGGGAATTCAGTTCTTGAGCACACAGGGAGAAGAGCCCGGAAATGCTTCATCCGTCCTCGCCCGTCTCCCCGCTTGCCTCTAAGCCGGCCAGCCTCTTAATTTTTAAATGCTTCTGGGCTGCACCTGCTGTCAAAATCCACACCACTCTTGAAAGTTGTCCTATAGGTAAAACTTATCTTTTGACACAAAACTCGAGGCTCCTTGAGAGTGGAGGCTCACACGGGATGCGTTCCTATTCCTGTTAGCACCTTGCTGGTCATGTGACCTGCTCGCCAGGGCGTCCGGCGTCAGAGCTGGCAAACCAAGGCTGTGTGGTAGGTGCTTACCAGGTCTCCTCCCTTGCAGCCAGGAAGAAGCCCTTGTTTCAGGAGAAATCAAGGCAAGTGGGTAGAAGCTTGTTGTCGTCACCCCGCCAAGTGGGTGTTAGCAAGTCATCCGTGCTCAAACACTGGGGAAGGGATCACAAGTCGATAGAGGGACCAACCTGACATGGCACAGAAAGTTGGGATGTTCATGTCCAGAAAGGCAGTCAACAAATTTATAAGAAATATAATAATGTAGCTCTATTAGAAGCTCAGAGTAATCAATAAGAATATTAAGACCCTGATAGAAGTTCAGAGGGCCTCCGTAGAGTCTCAAAAAAGAGAAAATAAATTTAACCAGTTAAAAAGTGGAATGACATTCAGCCTCACTGCTAGTCAGAGGAGTGTGCCTTGGCCGGGCACGGTGGCTCACACCTGTGATCCCAGTGCTCTGGGAGGCCGAGGTGAGAGGATCATTTGAGCCCAGGAGTTCGAGACCCGGCTGAGCAACGTAGCGAGACCCCATCTCTACAAAAAAAGAAAGTTATCTGGGCATGGGGGCACATGCCTGCAGTCCCAGCTACTCAGAAGGCTGAGGCAGGAGGATCACTTGAGCTCAGAAATTCAAGGTTACAGTGAGCTATGATCGCACCACTGCGCTGCAGCCTAGGCAACAGAGCAAGACTCTCTGTCTCTTTAAAACAAAACCAAAAAAAAGTATAGCTTTAAATGAGTTGTTTTGCTTATCACATTAGCAAATTATATATATTTTTTTCTCTCTCTGTTTTTGAGTGGATAACTACTAACTTCTGAAAATAGATATCTTTTTAAATGATAGCGTATTTTGCTGGCAAAGATGTGATAAAATGGGTGCTCCTGTTAATGGATGTGAAAGTCAGCACGAGCCTTTCTGAGAACACGCGGGCCAAGTAGCGAAAGGCTTAACTCGGCCGCTCCCGAGACTGAGCACGGAAGAAGCCGGGTGCAGACACCATCCAGGCTGCACGACAGTGTTCCACAACGTGGCAAATCGGAATCACCCAAGTGGAAGAATAGGTGAAACACTCGAGCAGATGTTTAATAACATGAGGAGACACTTACGCTGTTGTTAGGTGGGCAAAGAAAAGATAAAAATGTATACATACTTCGGTCACAAATGCATGTACATGTGCTGTTACAAATGCATAGAAAAGTCCAGAAGGAAATATATAAAAATGGTGGAAAATAACCCTCTTGGGTGGGGTCTTGGCGGGTCACATGCTAAGTGCTGACACACATCAGTGAACCCACGTCACCTGCCAAAGCAGATGCTCTTATTATGCCGTTCGTGAGAGAGGAAGAAACCAGGATGTGCAGACGTCCTCCGGTTTGCCTGTGGTCACACGTGGGCCAGGTTTTAAAGCCAGATCACCTGAGCCCAGCCAGCTCTTGGCCACTTTGCTACGTGCTCTCCCCCATGAGAATCGAATGTTCTCACCTGGGGGGTGAACAGAAACAAACTTACGTATTTTTTTACCACGTAGACAAAGAATTTAAATTGGCTGAGGACCCGTGCCAGAGTGGGAAGGCAACTGATGTTTCATTATATACCTTTTGTCCTTCTTGTCTTTATTTTAACATCATTAACTTTGTATCTCTTCTCTTGGTTTATTTTTATTTATTTATTTATTTTTAGAGATGGGGTCTCACTCTGTCCCCTGGGCTGGAACGCAGTGGCAGGATCACAGCTCGCTGCAGCCTTCAACTCCTGGGCTCAAACGATCCTCCAGCCTCGGCCTCCTGGGTCCTTTTGTCCCTTTTAAAAAGTTTTATCCTGTGGTATACTACTTATTCAAAAAAGAAGGAGAGTTAAAACCTCAGCCACGCCGTCACAGAAGGTTGAGGAGGTTTGGGTTCAGTAGGGCAAACGTGTACACACACGTTCTCTACCCGCGCCGCCTTTTGCTCTGGAAATAGCCTGTGACAGTCGCTGCTTCCTGTTCACGTTGCTGCCTTTCCTCCCTCAGCTGTCTCTAGCCAAAGCCTGTGCGAACGGGAGCCACCTCGGGCTGGAGGCGAAGGCGTCTGGTGAGCTGGTCTGCCAGCTGTTCCAGGCCTCCCGCGCCGTCAGTAAGCAGCAGATCTTCTCCGTGCAGAAGGGGCTCAATGACACGATGAGGTGAGGCGTCCGCTGGAGCTGCTTCTGTTAACCTAAGTCACCTGTCACTGGCAGCGAGGTGTTTAGTCATCAGCCTGCCACATACCCCCCACCCCGTGCGCGTGTGTGTTTTCTAAAACCTGGGGTGCCCAGGTTATCCAGGACTTTGAGGAAGAAAATATCCTACTCTGCTCTCTCTAGTTTTCCTTTTTAAGCCACGGAATGTGTTAAACCATTTTAAACATCTTTCTGAGACAACGGGATGCGTATCCCTAGCTCCCCAATCGAAAGCATGACCTTTCCTTGTGACCCCTGCCACGTGGGCATTGCCGTCGTGTGAGACCCGGTGGCCGGCAGGCGCTGTGCCCGTGGCCCACCTGCCAGGACACCCCAGCAGGACCTGCATCTTCCTGCGGGTGCGTGTGCCTCTGAGGTTTGCAGATAACACACTTTGACACGAAATCACAGAACATGTTAGAGGGTGAAGCGGAAAATGCAAGTGAGTGCTCAGGCCTGGGCCTGAAACTGCAGGTGCAGTTTGGATTTGGTAGCCTCTGATGCTGCCCTTCCAACAGACAGTTCCCAGCACATAGTACGTGCTCAGTTAGTAGGTCCTCTTCCTTGGAGGGGCGGGCTTGATCTCCCTCTCTCAGCTCGGGGATGCAGCAAACTGGGCCCCGCAAAGGGCTCCGAGCTGTGGAGCTTTCACATCCTGTGCCGGCGGTCGGCAGCCCTTCCTTCTCTCTGCTGGAAGGAACGTCTGATAACACCTTTTGACTCTCTTAGGCTGCTTTTTTCTTTTGATGCTATTCATTTTAAGCATGTGTGTGGGGTTAAATGAAAATTTAAACATTTTAAAGTGTACACGCCAGTGATCTGTTTCTAGAGGTCGGATCATTTAGCTTGTGAAGTCCATCTGCTTAGGGGGTCCCCCGTGTGTTCACAGGAGCCTCTGGTTTCACCCTCAAACGCCTGACCCTCCTGTGCTCTTTGTCCTGGGGGAAAACAGAGCCTTATCTGCTGCTCCTCTGCCTCATCAACTGGCCTGCCTTCCCATCCCTTCTCCCCCACCAGGTGCTTCTGACACCTGTGCCTGCCCGTCTGCCTCCAGCGTCATCACCGTGCTCTGTCGCTGTCCCTCCCCTCTGCTTTGAGACAAGCGTCTCATCTCTGCTCAGAAAGGCGTTTCAGGCATCCTTCCACGTTCCCTTGTGACCATTTGAGATGCCCCTGTGGAGAGGGACCTTGTCTGTCAACCCTCGGGCGTGTGGCAGGGTGGCTGAGTGAGTGGGGCTGAGAACTCCAGCCCGTGGCCTCGGTGGCTCTTACTTTAGCTGTGTTCCTGGCCCCTTGCTGTGTCTTGAAGATTGTGAGAAATGACCTAGCGAGCGAGCCGTTCCATGGGGGGAGTTTGGGTTTGCAAAAGCATTGCAGCTCTTGCCGCTTTGGAGTGACTTTTCTCATCCTGGGCCCAGCCCCACAGCACAACCCACTGTCCCCACCACCTGCACGCCTTGAGGGTCGGCAATTCTGGAAGCTGAAAGTTGCCCTTTCACCCTGCACTAGGTACAGGCCCCGAAGTGTTTTCGTTTGTGAGCACCAGGAATGAACGTGTGGGCCTGGGAGAGGGCAGAGGTGTGGCAGCCCACTGGCCTCCGAGGAATGAAGTGGGGAGACGCAGGGCTCGCTGTGGGACGGGAGCGGGGACCCCCGGGGCCTCCCCAGCGTCCTGTGACGCAGCGTCTCCAGCCTGGCTTCCTGGGTAAACCAGTGGTTCCACACGTGACCGGCTCACTCACTCAGCCCGACATGCCCAGGTGGAAGCTGGAGACGGGGCTCCTGGAGGACCGGTGCCCTGGTTTTCAGGGGTGGCGCTCTTTCCACAGGTACATTCTGATCGACTGGCTGGTAGAGGTCGCCACCATGAAGGACTTCACGAGCCTGTGCCTGCACCTGACTGTGGAGTGTGTGGACCGGTACCTGCGCCAGAGGCTGGTGCCCCGGTACAGGCTGCAGCTGCTGGGCATCGCCTGCATGGTCATCTGCACCCGGTGAGACACACCCCTGGCCTGGCCAGCGGGGACGCGCTGGCCCTTCCTGGGCTCAAGGGGCACCCGTGCGAGACGTCCTGGTAGTTGGTCCCGGCTGGTCAGAGAGTGGAAGCCCGAGCTGAGCGGCCTCTGCAGGCAGCGGTGGCAGCTGCTTTGCGACGCGCCTTGTGTGGCCTCACTCTTGAAGGCTCAGGCTAGACAGCTTGTCCCTGCTCCCAAGGGCAAGAGGGTGACCAGGGAGGGTCGCAGTCAGCCGTTCTCCAGCTGGACCTCAGAGTTGACAGGGAGAACCGCCTCTCTGAGGTCAAGTTCTCAAGTCTGTCGCCAAAGTTCCTACAGTCCTGGAGTTAAAGGGTCTAGTGCCCCCGCCAACGCCGTGGCAGAGCCCACTCCAACCAGGTGGGCGTCACCCCTGCACCTCAGCAGCCCTGACTTTTCACATCCAACCACCTTACTTTTTACCTGGTTTTTAATGGGAGCAACGTGGAAGCCAACTCCTGAGAAGATAGGGTTATATGTTTTGCATTTGCTTGTTTTCCTAAGTCGGCCTCCCCAGGGTTCCCCTCGGAAGCGCTTCTCAGCCCAGCCGGTTATCTGTTGGGCTCGGCAGGTGAGGATTATGTTTGGCCGCCCGTAGCGATGGGGAAACCTGCAGAGACTTATTTCTCTGCTGCACAAGGAACCCAGAGGCAGAGGGTCCAGGCTCAGATCACCAGGGCAATTTCTTTGTTTCCCGAGGTCATGGTAGAGCCCAGCTCCCATCTCGTCTCTGCCGCCCTGGGGTGCTGCCCTTGTCCCCGAGAGCCCTCGGCTACCGTGTCCACCTTCGTGCTGAGCTTAGTCTTGGGGCCGTGCCACAATGGGCTCTGGGAAGTATGGCCTCTGGGAGGCAGGCGTGTGCCAGCTCAGAGCAGCGTCACGTCACCACAGGAAGAGGGAGCATGGGCTTGCAGGGTGGGCAGACCAGCCACTCACCAGTCAGAGCCCTCTTCAAATGTGCTCTTGGCCCTGAATGCAGCATCCCGGTCTTCCAACCAGACGGCCAAAGAGGTCAGGCCGCCGCCTCCCAGCTCCTGGGCCACAAACTGGCTAGCAGTGAAAATCTATTAACTGTTAAAAGTGCTTTAGGGAGTTGAGTCCAAACTGTCTCCCCCACTGCAAGACCTGGTGCACTGGACCCCATGCCTAGTACCGTGGCCCCCGAGTAAAGTCTGCCCCACTAGCCTTGGGGAAAAAAAAAGGCTGGGCGCAGTGGCTCATGCCTGAATTCCCAGCACTCTGGGAGGCTGAGGCGGGAGGATCACTTGAGACCAGGAGTTTGAGGTTGCAGGGAGCTATGATGACACCACTGCGCTCTACCTGGGGCAATAGAGCGAGACCCTGTCTCAAGAAAAAGAAGAAAACAAAAAAGGCTGATGCGCCTCCACCTCCACTCTCAGAGCAGCACCTGCCATGCCCCCACCAGCCACCGTGGACCCATCTTTTTGGCATCTGTGGCCTTCACGCCAGCAGGCATGGCCCCTGTGCTTCCTGTCCTCCCTGTCAAAATGATGACCAGTGCAGAGTCCCCAGGACAGGGCAGCAAACACCTGTCGCCCCAGTCCAGGGGAAGGCACCCTCAGGGGACGCTGGAACGGAGTGTTCCCGGATAGCAGGTGCGGGTGGGTGGTAGAGAACAGGGTGACCACCTGCCCTGACGACTATCAGGACCCCCGTGGCCAGACACTGCTGTGTACAGACCTTCAGGTGGCCTTTGGGGCCTTTGCCTACAACTCTGACTCCAGGGCTCACCCACCTTCTGGGTTTAAAGCGTTTATACTCGATTGATGGACACTGTCACGAGACAGGGCAAATCCTTGTCCTTAAGGTCATTTAAAACTGAATGACAGTGTCACTCAGGGGCCCTTTGCAGAGACGTTTTGGTGTCTGCCTCACAGCCCTGCCATCCCCACTCTGCCTTTGCCTTGTGGCTCTGGGCCTCTTTCCAGCACCTTCTGACTGCGCTCTGCTTTAATTCTCATTGGCCACAGCAGCTGGGTCCATTGAGTAACTTCCTTTTGTCACCAAAGCCCAAAGCCGCCCCTCCCTCCTTACTTGAAGACTCCAAGAGCCTGGGCCCCGCTGAGGCCCCTTCTTGGCATTCCAGGTTCATCAGTAAGGAGATCCTGACCATCCGCGAGGCCGTGTGGCTCACGGACAACACGTACAAGTATGAGGACCTGGTTCGGATGATGGGAGAGATCGTGTCTGCCCTGGAAGGGAAGATTCGAGTAAGTGGCAGTTTTCTTCTTCCCTGTTAGTTTCAGTTATCACTGTGTTGGGGACACGGGAGGGCATTCAGCTTTGCTGCTCTAGGAGCTTCTCACGGACCCAGATGGCAGCTGTCTCTGCTGTGCCCAGAGCCACGGACCAAGAGGCCAGGGCTGCATTGCATCGTTGCATGCCCTGGTGCCCTGTGCTCACCCGGGCCACAGCCCGGACTGGGCCCATTCGGCCTGTGGCGGAGGAACCCTCCAAGTGCTGAGACCCCACGCCCGCTTCCCCTCTGTCTAGGTCCCCACAGTAGTCGATTACAAAGAGGTCCTGCTGACCCTGGTCCCTACGGCACCAAGAACCCAGCACCTGTGCAGCTTCCTCTGCGAGCTCTCCCTGCTGCACACCAGCCTGTCCGCCTACGCCCCAGCCCACCTGGCTGCCGCAGCGCTGCTCCTGGCCAGACTGACGCACGGGCAAAGTAAGGAACAGACCTTCCCGGGGGCTCCTGGGGTCGGGGGCAGGGGTGTAGGGAGGAAAAGGAACAGGTGTCTACCCATCCTGGAGAAGGAAATGCGCCAAATGGGCCAAAGGCAGTTCTCTCTGGGGCTGAGTGACAGATGGCTCCAGCTTAAGTTTTCCCCAAATTTCTGCCAGCAAGCGTACATGCTCCACATATGGGGTTTTTTCAATTGGTTTTAAAAGGATTGCAACCCTGAGTTCCAGGAAGCAACCATAGAACTGTGAGAGTTGTGGGTGGGAGTGGCCGGGCAGCCATCGTGACCCTGTTCCGTCTGCCCCCTCCCCAGCACAGCCCTGGACCCCTCGGTTGTGGGAGCTCACTGGATTCTCCCACGAGGACCTCGTGCCCTGTGTCTTGAGCCTCCATAAGAAGTGGTGAGTTTGTGAAGAAAGGATTCCCCCGACCGGGCTAGGCCAGAGTGGGTGGGCCGCACGGACCACAACAGGCGTTTGCTTCCACCTGTGACGGCTGTTGGTCCACACGCAGGTCTTCCCGCAGCGAGTGTCAGGCCAGAAATGTTCCCCAGAGTTGCCGTTTTAAAATTCCAGGGCTGTGTTTCTCATTTCATACGTTTTTCACGTCGGCACGTGTACAGCAGCTCCTCTCAACCCAAACCTGACTCCCAAGGCCGCAGAACACAGCTCCCGACCAGTGGTGCTGTCGGCAGATGACAAATTGTCATCTCACTCAGGAGTTGGCAAACTCTGGCCCCACACCTGATGTGCTTCCTGTCTCTGGATCTGCCTGTTCTGGACATTTTGTATCGGTGGGATCACAGGCCGTGTGGCCTTTGTGTCTGGTCATTTCACTCGGCGCGTTGTTCTCTGGTTTCCCGGAGCCACCGCGTGTCGCTGCTGCTTTCCTCTTCCGGGCTGAGCAACGTTCCACTGTCCGTAGGCACGTGTGTTCATCCTTTCATCAGGGCGGACGTTTGCACGTCTCCGCCTTTCGGGCATGGTGAATGCTGTGCACGTTCTCGTGTGAGTTCTGTGCGGACGCGTTCCGTTCGCGTTTTCCAGCTCTCTCAGCTGTGGCCTGGGCGGAGCTGCCGGCTCGTGTGCAGCTCCGTGTGTCACTGTTCAGGGGCCGCCAGACTGTTTCCACAGGGGCCGCGCCGTTTTGCATTCTCATCACTACAGGCGTGTTGTCCCCTCACCTCAGTGAGTTGAGGCTAAAAATGGGTGGGGGCCTCACGTGTCCTCGTCACGTATCCATTTCCAGCTTCCACGATGATGCCCCCAAAGACTACAGGCAAGTGTCGCTGACCGCCGTGAAGCAGCGATTCGAGGACAAGCACTACGAAGAAATCAGCCAGCAAGAGGTGCCTCCCGCCCCGGCCGCCGGGGCGTCTGACCAGGGCTGCCGGGTGGGGACGGGCTCCTCAGCCGCGCCACGTGGTGCCTCAAAGGCCACCTGACTCTGCCTCTCTCCAGGTGCTGAGCTACGGCCAGCTGTGTGCGGCACTGGGAGTGGAACAGGACAGCCCGGATCCCCCGTGCTTCCTCAGCACAGGAGACCTCCACGCCTTCCTCAGCTCTCCCTCCGGGAGGAGAACCAAGCGGTTAGTTAGACCCGGGTCCGGGCTGTGCGGGGGGGTGCTGCTCCGCGTGCGTGCTTGCCCGAGAAGCACAGCAGCGTCTTCCACTGTGCTGAACACGGGAGGCCTAGGTCCCTCCCAACAGGCCCGCCATCTGCATCTTACTCTGCAAACGGCACCCTATTTGGGGACGGAGTCCTCTGCAAGGAAAGCCCGCGCACATATGTGCGTCTGAGCTCCAGGAGTGGGGGCCCAGCCACACTGTGTTGAACCTGCTGCCAGACCCCTCCCAGCCCCGTCAGTCATCTGGGAGAGAAACTCCCCTGGGTGACAGCACGGCATCTCCACCCACGGCCAGGGGTCAGAAGGCAGAAAGGCTCTGCTGCTCCGGCCTCCAGCCCATTCCAGGCATGGCCTGCGCCCCACCGGCGGCTGTGCTGCGCTGCCCTGCCCAGGGATGCGCTGCTCCGTGTGGGCCCTGCCCAGTGCCAGGCCAAGCACTGCCTGCAGCCTGTTAAGGCAACACTGGAGGGTGGCATCGCTCTCTGCCAGTTTCCAGAGGGTCCCACAGCTGACCAGGGTGGACCAGGGTTCACAACCAGACCAAGGCCTGATATTGCCTGAATCATCCTTTCTCTGGCTTGGCCCCTGCCCTCGAGGGCTTTTCCCTGTTCTAGCTTCGTGGGCGTTTTCCGCACAGCAAACTTCCAGGAGCACACGGTGGGGACCCGGGGCAGGCGGGCGTCAGAGGCAGGTGCAGAGGACTGGACTGGGCCGGGCCTCGGAGTGCTGCCGCCTGTGACTGGGGTTTCCTGGGCTCTCCCTACCTTGCAGGAAGCGGGAGAACAGCCTCCAGGAGGACAGGGGCAGCTTCGTCACCACCCCCACCGCAGAGCTGTCCAGCCAGGAGGAGACGCTGCTGGGCAGCTTCTTGGACTGGAGCCTGGACTGCTGCTCTGGCTACGAGGGCGACCGGGAGAGCGAGGGCGAGAAGGAGGGCGACGGTGAGAGTGCGGCCGGGGGACAGCGTGGCGGGGGGGCTCCCGCGCATGCTCTGGCAGGTCCAGACGCCAGGTGGGGGTGGGGGGGGTGTGAGAGTAGAGCCCCTAAAACATCAGTGCTTTTCCCCCACACTGTGGGGAGAGGATTTAGGCCAGATCCGTGCCCAGCTCCAGCTGGGTCTGTGCTGGCCTAGCAGACAGAGGCACGTCTGGATTCATGGTAAGATCTTTCCAGAATGTTGCTTGAAATGTGCCACGTGGTGTACATGAGCCCTCCCACGCCGCCCTGCTGGGCTCCATGCCGGCACCCCCTGGCAGGCTGCAGGAGGTCCCATCCCCCGTGTCCTGGCCTGGCCAGGAAGCCCAGTGGGGCCAGTTTCTGTCGACTTTCCAGTGGCTTTTGTGTCCACCTCGGAGGGAGTTAGACAGCTGGTTTGCTGTCACGCTCCACTGTCCTCAAAATCCTGGCAGGCAGCCCTCCGAGCTCAAAAGAGGCATGTCACCCACAGCCTCTTGCCCAAAGACAGCAACACAGGGAACTATAGCAAGGGGCCCTGGGCGGATATTCGGCCCAGCACAGGGTGTTTTAAACTGTTCTGGCAAGAGCCAGAGCCTGGGCTGCCAGGGTCCTGACCAGGCAGAAGTCTCCTCTGATGCCTGGGCTATGGCATGATCTCTCTCTCCAACATTTCCTGCAGTGACAGCTCCTAGCGGTGTCCTCGATGTCACCGTGGTCTACCTGAACCCAGAACAGCACTGCTGCCAGGAATCCAGTGATGAGGAGGCCTGCCCGGAGGACAGGGGAGGCCAGGACCCACACTCCCCAGCGCTGGGCACCCAGACACCTCCAACCCCAGGGCCCGAGCCCCCACGCCACTTCAGGAGGGAACCGGGCAAGGACATCACAACCTCAGGGTACTCCTCCATCAGCAGCACAAGCCCCACAAGCTCTGTGGACGGCAGCTTGGGGGGCCCGCCCCAACCTACCTCAGTGCTGTCCCTGGGCAGCAACTCACACACACAGCCTTGCCACCATCAGGCCAGGAAGTCATGTTTACACTGTCGTCCCCCGAGCCCCCGCGAGAGCAGCGTTCCCCAGCAACAGGTGAAGCGCAAAAACCTATCCATGCATAGTGAGGAACAGGAAGAGGAGGAGGAGGACATGAACTTGGGTTTTCTGAAGCTGTGAGTGTGTGCCGGTGTGTTTGCTGCAGTGAATGTTTACCGAGGGAGGCTGCTGTTTCGCCAGCAAGGGATGGGCCACTGCAGGGGAACGCTATTTAGACCCCAGAGGCCATTACACAGAGAGCAAAGAGAGTAACTCGTAGCCACCAGGGGAGCCCAGTGTGCGCCCTCAGAATGTCTGAGTCAGAATGAAAAGCTCGGATCCTTCTCTTTGGAAAGTTTAACCTCCCAGCAAGCATGCCACACCGTGTGAAGGCTCTCTGTGCCCTCCTGTGTCCCACTGTCTCTGGAAACTTAAGCCCGTGTGTGTCCTGGTCTTCCCAGCGCCCCCAGAACCCCATGCCAGCAGCTGACAGCTTTCCTGCTCAGAGTAGGTGCGACCCAGGCAGCCCCTGCCTGCATCTGCCTGGTTTGGGCCCCAGTGGGGAGCTGACAGCTCTGAGCACAACACTGCCCCTCACCCAGCGTGGCCTCATGGGGCGCCCACTCCCTTCTGGGTGGTGGGTTCCCTGATGGGGAGCCCCGTGCCTCACACAGCAGCTGGACGGTATGCCCGCCAGGCGTGGGAGCTCCCTTTGATGCTTTGGCCGCAGGCTCCCCTCCTCCGCTCTCCCCACTCGTTTTAAAATCTGCCCTCCCCCAGGATGGTTTGCCTCATATGCGGTATCTGTGAACATCTCTCTTCGTATTGAATTTCTGGGTGATTCTTCTCCTGTTTTTTATTTCTAGACTTCTTTAAAGATGAAAGCAAAAGGAAAATTTAAATAGAGGGTATTAAATAAAAAAAACAAGAGATTCCCAACATTATTTAGGGCTCAATTAAAAAAAAGAAAATTTGGTTCCAGCCCCTCAATGCTGTCCTGACACTCTTGATTCAAAAAGAATTTCCCCAGAGTGGTTAGCCAAAAAAAATTTAAAAGTCTTCTGTAATGTCTGAAATAACCAGGAGGGAGGAGAGCAGGGGAGTCAAGGACTTGCCCCTGACAGCCCGTGACCGTGTGCCCCTGCCCTTTCCCGCTGGCCATGGAGGCTCGGCTCCGCACGCTGACCGTGACCTCTCCCGGGCTGGGTTGACCGCTGACACACACACCCTGCTGGGATACACTTTGTTTCCTCTGGAAATGTAAGGAAGAACCACTTGGCCAGGCATGTCCCCCAAATGCTCTTGAACCGGAAATATAGGGATGTGGAGATGTTAGCTCAGTGGTTGCTCTTCTGTGTGCTCGTATGTGTGTTGGTGTCTACGTGGCAGCTGTCTTTTTGCTACTGTAAGAGAATTCTGCCCACCCTGGGTGGCGTGTGGTTGGGGTGAGGAGAACCCAGGCGTTGGAATTGCAGACCTGTCCTGTCGACTGTGCCCCTGGGCATGTGTGAGCCTTAGTTTCCTCATCTGTAAGATGGGGCAATGATACCTACCTCACAGGGGTGTTGTGAGGATTAAATGTGATGGAGATAGCGGCAGATGAGTGATGTGCATCCCTTAACTGCCTCGGCCGCTTGTCTGTGTGGTCTCCTGTGTCAAAATCCCAACTCGATGGACTCAGTTCTCTGCCGTCTCCCAGCCTGCTCCTGTAGGAGGAAACCACTCCCAGGGGTCCTGGAACCACCTGCCTGGTCTCCTTGCCTCTGCCCAAACCCTGACAGCCACCCCAGCGCCTCCTGACTGTGGTGTGGGGGGGCTCCTCACATCTCCTAAGTGCCAACTGAGGCCTTTTCCCCTCCCCTCCTGCTTCAGAGAAATCTCAGGGGCAGCGGGACTGCAGTTAGCCTCCCCCACCGCTGAGGGAGGGGCCCACCCTGAGGGCAGGCCCAGAGCTGCTGGGTCCCAGCCCCCTTCCTCTTCTGTGCCCTGTGCCCTCAACTCCCCTCCTGTGTGTCCTCCACCCGCTCTGCTGTGACACCTCCTGTTAATGACTGAAATGGACTCACCTCTCCCATTTTTAAACCATCCCCCTCCAGGTCTGTCCTCCCTCCAGCTACCACTTGAGATTTCTTGGCCCTTCAGGGTTTGAGTTTGTTTATTCCAGTTACCTCCCATTGCAGTGGGCCCTGCTGCCCTCCTCACTTGCGCCCAGCCACTGTCTGTTCCTCCCCCAGCTGTCCCCTGCGGCACTGAAGGCCTCATTCACCCACGTGCTGAGGCTGCCTGGGCCTTGGCAGCAGCGCTTGGTCCACAGCCCCTCCCTCTTGGGCCTCCCATTGCTTCTAAGACTGTGCTCCGCTGTCCTCCACCTCTGGCATTCTCTGGGCTCCATCATCCGTGGCGCACCTGTCCCCACTCATGGACCCCGCCCCGCCTTGGGCCGGCTGGCCCAGGCCCATTGCTCCGTGTGTCCAGGTGCCTGCCGACCTGACACCTCGCTGGGTGTCCACATGTGAGCACTTCCTTGTCCCTTGTCCCGGCTCCTATCACAGCCGTCATCCTCGCCTCCTCCACTGACTGTTTCCTCCTCGGTGCGCCTGAGCCTGTGCTGGGTGGCCCGGAGTCGGCAAGACAGCGGTTCCTGCTTTACAGCACCTTCAGCAGGGACAGACATGAAGCCAACCAGTAAACCACCACAGGAGCCCTGCCAGAGGAGCGCGGCGATGGCGCCACCATCCACCCGGTTTTCCAAACCAGAAGCCTGAAGTCACCCGAACTGCCACCCTCTGCCTCGGGGCCCACCCAACTCGGAGTCGGAGTCCGCGCCAGGCCTGGGGGGGCGGGGCCGGGGCCGGGGCGGGGCGGGCTTTGAGGAGCGCGGGTGGTGGTGGGGGGCGGGCCCTGAGCTCTGAACTCGGGATTGGGTAGCCTGGGAGGAAAGGGATGGTCTTTTTCCCCGGAAGGGGCGGGATCTTCCGATGGCGGCATTTGCAAGGGGACGCCGCCGCCTTCATGCTGCCCGCCGACTGCTCGCGCAGGTGAGGCCCGCGCGGCGGGAGGGGGCGGGGACGGGCGAGCGCGGGGCCCGAGGCCGGCCGAGGTGCTGAGCCATCGGTGCGTCCCGCCAGGCTGGTGGCCGAGCTGCAGGGTGCCTTGGACGCCTGCGCAGAGCGACAGCTGCAACTGGAGCAGAGCCTGCGCGTCTCTCGTAGGCTGCTGCGGACCTGGTACGCGGACCCCGGGACCCCCTGGCGGGCCTCCCGCAGACCCTCAGAATCCTGCACAGAGCCCTGGGGCAGTCTCCCACTTCCGAATTTCGGGTTGTCAGTGCCACCCCTCTTACCCTGCATCCTCTGAGGCTGAGGGACTGCGCTGGGGGCCAGGCCCCAGGCCCCTGGGGTCTTCTTGGGCCCTGCCTCCTGGCCGTGCCATGCTGCCCGTGTCTTTGCAGGGAACCAGCTGGGACCTTGGCTCCAGAGGCACGTCTAGAGCCAGAAACTAAAGAAGAGGATCACTCTCCAGGTAAACCTCTGCCACCCACCTTCTCCAGGTGCTGCCCCTACCTGACTGCTGGCATGCAGTTGTGAGAAACCCTTCCTGGGAAACAGTGGGGAAAGACCCCTGCATGATTCTTGGCTTTCACAGCATGCACACCCGGCCCCCAAGACCTCAAGGAGCTGGAACTTCTGACCCAGGCCCTGAAGAAGGCTGTTCTGGCACGAAAAGTCACTTCTAAGGCTGGAGAAAGAGCCAAGGCCCCCAGCCTGAAATCCGGGTCCTTTGCCACCTCTCCTGGCATGACAGCCTCTACCCCATCCTGGGCCCCAGGCCAGGCTGGCAGCTGCGCATCAGAGGCAAAACCCACTAGAGGCATCCGCCAGACCACAGTGCCTGCCAAGGGCCACCCTGAGCGCAGGCTCCCCTCAGCTGGGAATAGGGCCCGTGTCGGGGTAGGAGCCCGAGCCACCAGGCCTGGGCCAGGCCTCAGGGACCAACATGTGGCCCTATCAGCTGCTCCTGAGGCCCCAGAATCCTTCACACTCAAGGAGAAGGGGTAGGTTTCCCAGACCCTCGTTGGAAGAACTGCTGTCTCTACCTGCTCAGACTTTGGCCAGCAACAGGAGTCTGGGATTTGGGGTGGTAGGGAAGACAGGGCACTGAGCAGGGTGTGGGCCACAGGAGCTCCCGGGTGCAGGCCCCTGAGGCTCATTCTCTGAAGCTAGCAAAATGTAGCAGCTGGTGTGACAGTGCCCAGTTTAACACACTGGAGCCCGTCTTGCCCTCTTCTCCATAGCTGTCCCCTTATCCACCCAGCCCGGGCACTCCGGATGGGCTTTGGAGGGGCTGGGCTGGCTCTCTTGACCACTCTGGACATCCTGTCCAAGAGGGATTGTCAGAATGGGTGGCAGGGCAGAAGGTGTAAGAAGCCTCCTCCCTCATTGGCCTCTGAGCAGGGAACAGACTTACAGCCGCCAGAGTGAGGCGAGGCTGCTCTGAACATTGGCTTCTCTGACAGGAGCCTGCTGCAGCTGCCTACAGCCTTCAGGAAGGCGGCTTCTCAGAACTCCCGGTGAGGCTGGGTCTTTCGGCATGGTGGGGGCAGAGGGGAGACCAGAGAGGCGTCACCAGCTCGGGAACGTGTAGGAGAAACAGGCAGCTCTGTCTGCTTTCTTTGCAGACAGAGGCGTGGGGTCACTGCCGACAGTAAAAGAGTCTGCCCAGCTAGGATGTTGCAGTCACCTTAGATTAAGCAGGCTGTGAAGCCCCCAGCTCAACAACTCTACAAGCTGCAAGACTTGAACAGGATACTTGGTGTCTCCAAGTCCCAATTTGTCTTTCCTCTGGAAGTGACAATAGTAGCAGCTTCACAGAGGTGTTGTAAGGGTTAAATGAGATGCTACCTTTCAAGCGTTATACTACCTGGTATAGAGAAGCACCCAGCGCTCTTAGCAGCGTCACAGTGACCAGTCACTGCCAGCTCCTTCGTGAATTCTCTCTTGGCTCCATCCCCTATCGTGGGCAGTGTCCTCTCGGCTCTCTGAGGCCTCCGAAGGCCCCTCCTGACACTCAGCAGAGCCAGACACCCAGCCTGGGGCCGCTACCCTGGCCCTTGCCTACCTCCCAGGGCCCAGCCAGCTAGAATAACCACGTCCCTCTGGTTCCCGTGGCGCCGTGTATGCATCCCAGCTTGTGGGCCCAGCTCACCTCTGCACAGCCCAGGGATTCCACAAATGCCACCGCCGCCGCCAAAACCTATTTCCTCCAGCAGATGCAGACAGCCGTATCCTTGCAGGGCGTGCAGGAACCCAGGGGGCTTCTGGCTCTAAACCTGGCAGGTTGAAGAGTGGCCCCAGAAAGGGCTGGTATGGGATGGCCAGGGCCACTGCCAGACCAGTCCTATGTGGGAGGGGAGGGGCCTGTCACTGGGAGTTTTCCTGACCCATGTGCAGTCAGGCCGGCCTGGCCCGGTGCTCAGTGCTGCGGAGGTGGAGGCTGAGGTGGGGCGCCTGCAGGAGGCCTGCTCACTGCTGAGACTGCACATGAAGGAGGAGCTCTCTGCGGGTCAGTGGGCCAATGCAGGCCTCGGGAGGGCAGGGTGCAGGGAGGCTTTCAAGACTGGCATGGCCCCAGCCTGCCCCCCTGACTCTCGCATAGCCCCCACTGACTGGACGCAGGAGTACCGCTGCCTGCTCACCCTGGAGGGGCTGCAGGCTATCGCCGGACAGTGTCTCCACAGGCTGCAGGAGCTGCATGCAGGTAAGGACCCGCCCCTGCCCTGCCACCTGTGCTGAGGCCTGGACCAGGGCCAGGTACTTTGGCCAGACTTGCCCGTGCCTCCAGGAAGGGTGAGCAGCCCCTTCCCACGCCGCCCTGCAGTGCTGGGCTCTTGCCAGCTGTCCTGTGGGACCAGCCCACCTTCCTTACTGCCTCGGGACAGCCCCCCGCCCCACTGCTCCCAAGGAGCAGACCCTCATCACTCTGAGCAGTTGGCTTGTTTATCCAGCACTGAAAAACCAGCAGATGAGAATCAGAAAGACAGTGGGACGTGACTCTCCATGTATGGCAAGAGGTGGTTATTCATGGGCAATAGTGCTTTTCTCTCTTGTGTTTTTTAATTGCTCGAAGTTTTAAGAGTAAAGATATCTAATTTGTTAAAAGCAAAGTCAGTCTCAAAACAGTCACGTGTAAGCACAGTAAAGAAATCCAGGAGGCAGGGGGGCTCCACAAAGGACCCCCTGCCCCAGCAAGCCCAGGCGCACCTCACCCCATCTCGTGCTGGCCTGTTGTGGAAGCCTGACTGCACCCCTGAAGCAGGGTGGGGGTGAGGAGCAGGTGCCGGGACAACTACGCGTGGCTGCCATCTCACATAGCCACATCTCCTGTCCACGAATCCCTGGCAGAGCAGCCTGTGGCGCCGTGTCCTGTTGGGAGGCCCTCCAGGGCCCCACCGCCCTGTGGAGGTGGAGCAGGCCCCTTCTGGAGCCCCCAGCTGCTCCTCTACTCCAGCACCCAGGAGCTGCAGACCCTGGCGGCCCTCAGGCTGCGGGTGGCCATGCTGGACCAGCAGGTACACCTGGAAAAGGTACTTCTGGAACAGGAGGTGGGGAGTGTGCAGCTGGGTGCCTGGGGGAGCCGTTGGCTGTGGGGAGGACTCCGGGTCTGGAGCCTCGTGAGGGCTCCTTCTCAATGGGAGAACGGCCGGGGATCAGGCTTGACTGTGAGGCACCCCCAGGACCCAGGGGGCGGGGGTTGGGCCCCTGAGTCTGTGCATGGGCCAGGGCAGCAGGACAGCCTGAAGCCCCAGAAGGAGTTGGGGGCCTTGAAGCCTGTCCTGCGATCACCGCACCACCTAGGCCAGCCGCCCAAAACTGGGCCCCCCTGAGACGTGGCCCTGCACTGCCCCCAGGTCCTAATGGCTGAACTCCTGCCCCTGGTGAGCTCCCAGGAGCCGCCCTCGCTGGCCCTGTGCCGGGCTGTGCACAGCCTGCTCTGCGAGGGGGGCGAGCGCTTCCTCACCGTCCTGCACGATGACCCTGCAGATAGCCCTCCCCCCATGCCCGGGCCTCAGGACCCCATCAGGGAGAATCCCCTCCTCCCTGGTCGGAGTTAAGTGAGGGGGTTGAGGGGATTCTCCCTGTTGCTGTGGGCGTGGGGACCAGAGACGCCTGTACCCCTAGGAAACCTGGGTTTCTGAGGTGCCGCAGGGCAGCCTGGCTCGTCCCACAGCTAAACCTGCTGGCAGAGCTGGAGGCCAGAGGCTGGGGGGAGCCTTTCTTCACTACCTCTGCTGTCTCGCTGTAAACCTCGGAGCCACCTGCGTGATAGTAAAGCTACTTTGGAAAGTGTATCTATTTAAATCAAACCAAGGTGGGACTTGGTAGGGTGGGTTGTTCTTGGTTTTTGTTTCTTTATTTTTTTACTTATCAAGTATATCATCGCTTGATACTTACTCTGCTGGATAAAAAAGAGTATGTCAAGTGTACTTGTTAAGCATCTGACTATCCCTTCTGTACAAAGTAGGGGGCGTTTGCCCAGCACGCCTAAAACCCCCGCCCCCCATGCCTAGAACTGTACTCAGCTCATCAGAGACACAAAAGCCGTAAGCCCGTGTCGGAGAGTGAGCCAGTCTCTGCCCACAGCCACCTAGCCTGCTTCCTGCGGTCTCCTGGTGCCCAGGTCCAGCACTTCCTCCTGGCGCTGGTGCTGTGGCAGGTATGGGGTCTGCCCTTCTCAGGGACAAGGCCCTTTCCCCCTGCACCCACTCCACTGTCACCTCCCAGGCTCCCCCAGGCCCCGCTGAAGGAAGCATCGCTTCCCCAGGAAGGCAGCAGGGGTCGGGGCAGCCACAGACTGAGGTTTGCATCATGGCTTGTTTCCTGCGGTGGGATTTCCAGCAAGATCCTTGAGGAGCCTTAGCCTCAGTCCCCAGGCTTGTCCCCACTGTCATGCCAGGGGACCCGTTATTACCCTGCGGGGTTGGTGTGAAGATTAATGAAATGATACGTCTGATGCCCTTGGCCGTGGAGGCTGCGGCATTAGCCCGGCCAGCGCTCAGAGCACTGGGTAAACGAACCTTCGCTGAGGGCCTGCGGTGTCCCAGGTGATCATCGGAGCTGGGCCTGGCCCTTTGTGTGGTCAGTTCTGGAGCTTTGCCACACTGGGCTGTGGACGGGGTTCTGTGACAAGGAAAAATACCAGCCTCTTCCCCAAGGTGCTCAGGCCCCATGCGGGCAGCAGGACAGGAGGTGGTAACACCTGGGAAACCAGGTCTTCCAAGAGCCAGATGAAGTGCTGGCTGTATGTAGATGATACTGAAGCAGCTCTGAGGCAGCTTCTCGGTGCCCACGGGAGGTCCTGCTGGTGAGGACCTGACAGCCGGCAGGCCGGAGGCGCCCTCCGACACAGAGTCAGAGTTGAGGGCAGCTGAGGACCAGATGGCAGAGACCAAAGTAGGAAGCAAATGACTGTGGTCCTCATTGCACTTAGGGGCCCCTCTCGGGACAGAACAGGAATCCCAGGAACGGTGAGCCCAGAGTGGGGGAGACCCTGTGGGCTGCCCTGCCCTGCTAGGCTGGCACCTAGTCCCCGGGGAGTGAGGTCAGCCAGCTGTGTCTCTCCTGGCCACCCTATTGCTGCCTCCAGAGCTTATACCCCAGTGCTCTGATCTGGGGAACCCTTTAAATCCCTGATTGCCACACACCCTGCTACTGTACACCCCAGCGCTGGTTTCCATAGCAGGTAGTCTGCCCAGAATTATTTTATTGACCGCCTCACTTGGTTTATTGTCCACCATTCCCAGAGGGCGTTTGCCCAAGGAGGACAGGAGCGCTATCCCCCTCTACCCGTGGCCAGGCCCTGGTGGGAGCTCAGTGGTCATTGGCTCAACGATCCGCTATCCCGGGGCCAGTCCAAGGCACTGGTGGTGTTCTGCGGATCAGTGGGGGCGCGCCAGAGCCTTCTCGGGCAGGAAGACGCCCTGGATAGCTTTGGTGGGTGGTGCCTAAGCGGGTCCCAACTCAAGGGTTCCAGGACAAGAAAGGCAGGCTGCCCTCCGGATCAAGGCTTGCCCGCCCTGATTCCTCACCAAAGCGGGGAGGTGTCTAACTCCCCGGGCGTCCCCGATGGCGTCAGCGTGTCCCAGGCCAATCGGCTCTGACGTGGCGGGTCTGGACGTGAGTGGGGACTGCGCGGCGCCCACACCAGCCCCCAGCGCGGCCACCACATCAGCCGCATGAGCGTGCCCGAGCCTCCGCCCGCCGCACCCACCCCGCCAGGGCTCGCGCGCCCGGAGTCCCCCGGGGCCCTGCGCGCGCTGCTCTTGGCCACCGGTGGCGCGGGGGGCTCGTGGCCGCGCTGTGTCCTGCCGTTCGGTGCCGTGGCCGTACTGGCCGGTGCCGCCGCCATGGCCATGGCCATCACCTTCTCGCTGCGCTGGCCCCGCCTGGACCTGGCCCAGGGCGCGTCGCTGGCCGCGCTCGGCGCGGGCCTCCGGCTCCTGACCACCGCCTTTCTGTGCCGGCGCGCGAGGCCCCCGCCCATCGCGGTCACGGCGAGCCGGGCGGGAGACGTGCCGAGCGCGGGTCGCGGAAGCCGCCTCCCACACCCCCTCCGCAAACCGTTTCTTTCCGAACCCTCTGGGCAGAGGCGGCTACGGGCCATTTCCCTCCCCCGCCTCTCTGCGTTGCCCCCTCCGCCCAACGTGGCTTTTCGGCACTTGGCTTGGCGCGCAGAGCTGGTCGCGACCGCAGAGCCGGCGTGGCTGAGCGCGGGGCGGGCGGGGGCCCGCGCGGCGAGCAGGGCGTGGGGCGCGGCGGGACGCGGCGGGGCGTGACCGCTCTCCACCGGGCGGGCGCAGCGTGCTGTGCCCCTCCCGAAGCTGTCTGCCTGCCGCGCTGGGTTGGAAGACCGTCGAGGCATAATAGGCGCTCAGTAAAGGTGCAATTCGTGAACAAGTGGTGGCTTGCAAGCAGCGGGAGGGGACATAGGTCCTGGGCTGGGCCGGGAATTATTTGATCAATCGGCCTCTTAAGGGAAAGACTCTGTGCTCCCTGCGGCTGGGGTTTTCAAGCCCCTCCGTCCCCTCTTCCCAGCCTGTGCCCGAAACGAGAGCTGCCACTGGGGCGGGGGGAGCAGCGGCCTGAGGTGCAGGTGGGGGGAGGGGAGGCGGAGCCGCTTTGTCGCCGAAGGTGCCAGGAGGGGGCAGGGCCAGTGGAGAGGTGGGAGGTGTGAGAGGCCTCAGTCCGGGGCTGGCACAAGTGGCTGGGTCCACAGGGAGCAATGAGCCTCGTCTGGGGGCTGTGGGGAAGGCCCTCCCTAACTCCGTCACACCATCTGCGAGGGGAGGCGGAGGAGAACGTGGGCAGAGGACAACCAGGCAGGGGCCTTGCAGCCCGCAGCCTCTTCCCTGGGGAGCTGGTGACACAACGGCCCTCAGGGGCCCAGCCTCCTGCCTGCTGACCCAGATGAGCACTCCCAGCAGGGCTGAGCCCAGGCGGCACCTACTTCCACCCCTGCCAGATGCCACCAGCCTTCCTGTAGACCCCAGCCCCAGCTCACAGGGAGGCTGGGCTGGAGACAAAGCCAGCCCCACTGAAGAGTGAGAGAGCTGCTCCCCGCCAGCCTCCATCGGCAGCCAGGTGAATCCAATGGGGTTCTGAAGTCCAGAGATGCCCTGGGCTTCCCTGGAGGTTTGTCTGCAGCTCAGTGGGACCCCCGTGTCAGGACTGGGTATTTCTCTGGAGCCAGAAGGACCTTGAAGAAGGTGGTTGGGAAGGTGCTGGGTCTGAACTTGACCCATCCCAGAGCACAGCATAAGGACCTGTGAGGTCCCTCACTCCCCCTGTGAAGGACACATGCTCTGTGGGGAAGCTGAGTCTGTGCCCTGCAGCACCAGGAGGCAGGGGCTGGGAGGGGAAGAGAGAGGCCAGCAGCCCCTCTGCCCTCTGCTCAGTCCTGCCACCTCCATCCTGCATCTGTGACTATCAGGCCTGGGAAAAGGCCCACCAGTGGGTGGCAGTTGCTCTAGGAGCCAAGCTGGTGCCCCATCACCCTGTCTTCCTGTTCCTCCTCCTCCAAGGTCAGGCCCTCCTACCCCCTTCTCTGCTCTGGCTTCCCCTGTGAGGCCCCAGTGTCCTCTTGCTCCTCCTCTCCCAAACAGCATGGTGTCTCTGCTTCTTGTCCATACTCTTCCTGTTTGTCCTTATATCTCTGGCCCTGTCGAGGGTAGCAGCTCTGCCTACACAGACACACCCATGTGGCCTGGGGTCGTGTGTGGACGTTCAAGCCTCAGGGCCGCCCCTCTGCCTGGGGCTGATCCCAGTCCTCCCTGGGGTGCTTAGTCCCTGGGTCCTCCCCTCTGTGGAGGACCTAAAGGACTAGGGAAGGGGATTTCTCTGTCCAGAGCGATCCCTGGCCACTCTTTGCTGGGGTTGTTCCAAGCAGCAGCTGCCCCCTCTGAGCTAGTACCCAGGCCACCCAGCTAAGCTTCTGCCTCTGTCTCCCTGCCCAGACCTGCTAGGATGTGGGCCAGCAGGCTCAGGAGTTCTGACACGGAGCCATTCGTGAGCAGCCCCTCCCTGGGGGAACGAAACCCCACTCCTTGCCCCTCCAGAGGGGTCCTCCACAGCTAACCATGCCCTTGAATGCCACCCGGCCTCCTGGTGGACCATATGGCCTGCACCCCTCAGCCGAGCTCAGGCTGTGCAGCTCCTGCCTCAGGGCTGACACCGATGGCAGCTCACCCCATCCTCCCAACCTCCGCAAAGCACGAGGAAACACAGGCATCTGGCCGATGAGGAAACTGCGGAACCCAAATCACACAGCCAGAAATTGGAGCAATTTGGATTCAAAATCAGACCTGCCCCCAGTCCTGGGTTCTTTCTACTAGAGCAGACTGTTGCTTTGGGGATACCTCCATAACCCCCCACCAGGCTCCCTTACCCAGGGGGCACGGGGCCTTGGCCGATCAGACCCAGGCGAGCCCACCTGATGGGCCCAGATCCCCGCCCAGCGCGTGGCACAGCCCCAGGAGCAGTCAAGGCCTGGCTCCGGGCCGGGGACCCTGCTGGGTGGTCCCCCACGGGCTGTGGGGCTGAGCTGCCCCTCCAGACCCCTCCCGCCATCGCATTCCTGGCTCCCTGGCCCCTCCCCCGGCTCCCGGGCCTCCCAGCCCCCTCCCCCGCTGGCCCAGCCTGAATCTGAATCTGCTTCTGATTCCAGCTCTGCCGGCGAGGCCCCCTCCCCTCCCTTCCCTCCTTCTCGGCCCATGCAGCCCCGCCCCCGGCTGGGCCCAGGCTTGCGCCTGCTGCGCCCCCCACCCGCTCCTGGCACAGCTCGTCTGCCCTCTCTGCAGCAGGGAGGAGGCGGCGGCCCGGGGACCCCTGGCCCCGCCCGCCCACAACCCTTCCCGGGAGGCCGGGAGACCTGCTCTGCCTGGCCCTTGGTGGGTGAGTGCTAGCCCCGGGTGGCGGGTGGGGCCTCCTCCAGGCAGAGGCACCGGGGAGCGGGACGTCGCCTGTCAACGCTCCAGGCCCAGCGGGAGGACGGGCCAACATACCCGCTGCTGCACTCGGCCCGGCGTGCCGCTGCTGCTCCCACCTCTGGGCCCTGGCTGGGGCCGCCCGGGCAGCACTGAAAGGAGCAGGAAGAGCCTGGGACTGGGCTCTGCCTCCCCAGGGGCAGCATCGTGGGGCCCCTGCCGGCTGGCTGCCCCAAGGTGGCTCTGGCCATGCACTGCTGGCCCTGGGGGCTGCTGCTGACCGCCAGCACTCTCTGGGCCGCACTGAGCCCTGGGCCGCCTGCGGCCACCGACCCTTGCCACGATGAGGGGGGCGCACCCCGCAGCTGTGTGCCAGGCCTGGTGAATGCAGCCCTAGGCCGCCAGGTGCTGGCGTCCAGCACGTGCGGACGGCCAGCTACTCGGGCCTGTGATGCCTCAGATCCACGGCGGGCACACCCTGCTGCCCTTCTGACCTCTGCAGGGGGAATGGCAAGCCCTCTGTGTTGGCGCTCAGACTTGCTGCCCTGGGTTCCCCTCAACGTGACCCTCACGGTGCCCCTGGGCAAGGCTTTCGAGCTGGTCTTCGTGAGCCTGCGCTTCTGCTCGGCCCCTCCGGCGTCAGCGGCCCTGCTCAAGTCACAGGACCATGGCCGCAGCTGGGCCCCCCTCGGCTTCTTCTCCTCCCACTGTGGCCTGGATTACGGCCGTCTGCCTGCCCCTGCCGACGGCCCTGCTGGCCCAGGGCCTGAAGCCCTGTGCTTCCCTGCACCCCAGGCCCAGCCCGACGGTGGTGGCCTTCTGGCCTTCAGTGTGCAAGATGGTAGCCCACCAGGCCTGGATCTGGACAGCAGCCCGGTGCTCCAAGACTGGGTGACCGCCACAGACATCCGCGTAGTGCTCACAAGGCCTGCCACACTGGCAGACACCAGGGACTCGGAGGCCACAGTCCCGTACTCCTACTCAGCCACTGAGCTCCAGGTGGGCGGTCGCTGCAAGTGTAATGGGCACGCCTCGCGGTGCCTGCTGGACACCCAGGGCCACCTGATCTGCGACTGCCGGCATGGCACCGAGGGCCCCGACTGCGGCCGCTGCAAGCCCTTCTACTGCGACAGGCCGTGGCAGCGGGCCACAGCCCGGGAATCCCACGCCTGCCTTGGTGAGGCCTTGGAGGGTGGCCTGGGGATCTCGGACCCGGCCTGCCTGCCCCTGACCCGTCCCTCCCTGCAGCTTGCTCCTGCAACGGCCACGCCCGCCGCTGCCGCTTCAACATGGAGCTGTACCGACTGTCTGGCCGCCGCAGTGGGGGTGTCTGCCTCAACTGCCGGCACAACACTGCTGGCCGCCACTGCCACTACTGCAGGGAGGGCTTCTATCGAGACCCTGGCCGTGCCCTGAGTGACCGTCACGCTTGCAGGGGTGAGCCTGCTTCCAGCCGCCCACATGCCCTCACCCCCTGGTTTCCCAGAGCCCCAGATGGGGTTCTGATCAGGCCCTTCCCACCTCTGCCCTCAGCCTGCGACTGTCACCCCGTGGGTGCTGCTGGCAAAACCTGCAACCAGACCACAGGCCAGTGTCCCTGCAAGGATGGGGTCACTGGCCTCACCTGCAACCGCTGTGCCCCTGGCTTCCAGCAGAGCCGCTCTCCGGTGGCGCCCTGTGTTAGTGAGTGACCCAGCCCTGCCTCAGCCACCCCAGCTCCCTGCTGTTGCCTGTCTGTCCCTGGGGCCCTGCAGATGCCCCTGCCCCTCCATGGCCGGCCATTCTCCCTCTCCGCAGAGACCCCTGTCCCTGGACCCACTGAGGAGAGCAGTCCTGTGGAGCCCCAGGGTGAGTGGACAGGGAACAGGGTCCCTGAGTCAGGTATGACCATGGGGGAGGGTGCGATGGGTTGGGGGGAAGTGGGGTTCTGTGCCATCCTCCCCCCCTCCCCCCCAGACTGTAACTCGCACTGCAGACCTGCACGTGGCAGCTACCGCATCAGCCTGAGGAAGTTCTGCAGGAAGGACTATGGTAGGCCTCGCTGGGCCTCCTGCCTCGACGTTCTCCCCTTCCTCCTCCCGCCTTGCCCCTCCTCCGCCAACCTCCCCTTAGAATACCTTGACCCTTGCTGCCCAAGGTCCCCCACTGTCGCCGGCCCCACCCCTCTAGCCCCACTCTGTCCTCTGTGCCCTTGCCACGCCCTGTGCTCCTGCGCGCGGCCCGCCCCTTCTGACCCCGCCCCTCTCGCCTTCCCCGCAGCGGTGCAGGTGGCGGTGGGCGCCCGTGGCGAGGCACGCGGCGCGTGGACGCGCTTCCCGGTGGCGGTGCTCGCCGTATTCCGGAGCGGCGAGGAGCGCGCGCGGCGCGGGAGCAGCGCGCTGTGGGTTCCGGCCCAGGACGCGGCCTGCGGCTGCCCGCGCCTACTGCCCGGCCGCCGCTACCTGCTGCTGGGGGGCGGGCTGGGAGCCGCGGGCCGGGGCGCAGGAGCCCGGGGGCCGGGGCTCAGCGCGGCCCGCGGAAGCCTCGTGCTGCCCTGGAGGGACGCGTGGACGCGGCGCCTGCGGAGGCTGCAGCGGCGCGAGCGGCGGGGGCGCTGCGGCGCGGCCTGAGCCCGCGGGCTGGGCGCGCAGAGCCAGGCGCACGTTCATCCCGCGCCTTCGTCCGCCGAGGAGTCTGCTCGCTTCGCGCGTGTCGCCATCTGGGCCCCCGCCTCGTCCCCGCCCGGCACCTCCCTTGGTGCCTCACACCTGGGTCTCGGAGGAGTGTGACCGACGCCACGACACCAGCCCGGACTCGGAAGCGCGGGATAGTACCAGGTTGCTGCCTGGAGGCACTTGGGCAGCTGTTATCCCCAGGGCTCCGGGTCTCCCCACCCTCACGCTGCCTGCCCTCTCCCAGGGCACTGTGACACCCCAGAAGGCTGTGAACCCCCCCTGTGATGGCAGGACCTCTCCGGGGTCTGAGAACATCCCAGGGGCCACTGTGACTCCCCGACGCGGTGATCCGCCCGCGAGCGCTTTGACCTCCCCAAAAGCCACCGTGGCCACCATAGACTCCTGTGACCCCCATGGGGCTCGGTGACCTAACTCCACTGCCCGGACAGTGACCTCCCCCCCGCCTCCTGCCGGGGCCCGCGGAGGGCGCTGTGGCCCCTCCCCACGCGGACGGCCGCCCCTGTCCAACTCGGGGGGGTCTCTGGTCCCTCCGTCAGTGCCGGCCTGTCTCTGCGGCTGGACGCCCGTGTCCCTGCCTCTGGTTTCCGCCCGGCGGCCTCTGCGCCGCGGGGCTCCCCCGCTCGGGTCCCGCCCCGAGGACCCTCCTACACCCCTTATCCGCCGGCTGGGGACCGCACGTCGCGCCCACGCGGCCCCGGGTTCACGCGTGACCCGGCGGGCGGGACTCCAGCAGGTAGCTGTCCGGGCTCCCCACGCCCGCAGCCCATCCCCCGCCGCGCTTCACTCGTCCCCAGGGACCCTTCGCAAGCCCCGGGCCCTCCACCTGGGGACCGGCCCTCCCCGGCGCATGCTCCCGCCGCGGCGTCAGCGCGCATGCCCAGAGCCCGCCGGGCCGCGACCCGCGGGCGCTCGGGGTGGGCAGCGGGCGGTGCGCTCGGCGGGGGCGGGGCCGCTTGCGCGCGTGCGCAGAAGGCCGCCGTCGTCGCGCGGAGAGCGGAGGAGCCGGCGGCGCGGCGCGGAGGTGGGTGCGCGCGGGGCGTGTGGGGGGCGTGACGGGGTCGCGGGGGCGCCGGGCCGGGGCGCCGCTGTCACCGCGGCTGGGGCGCGCTGGGGAGCGGGCGTGGGGGCCACGTTGCGGGGCCTCGTCCGAGGCGGGCGTGCTGGGGGCCCACGCGCCGCTCAGGGGGCTCCGGAGCCTGGCAGCGCCCGGCGGACTGGCTTCGGGCTGGGGCACGACGCAGGGGAGGGCGAAGTGGCTTCGGAAAGAGCTGTCTCTGTGTCACTCTCTCCTCGGGGTACTTTCCGTCCCTGCTGGGTAGGAAATCCTCTTCTGGACTGCATCAGAATTGCAAGATTCTCTGATACGCTCTGCCCACGAAGATCCGCAGCTCCTCCCAGCCTTCCACTTGCCCCAAGGTGACACACCTGTCCACCTTACCTAGGTGTCTACCCAGCTTCTCAACCGTGTCCAGCAGGTGCCCTCCTTGGCCGCTGTGCCAGGCTCTGGCCTGGGAAGTGGAAGCCGGGGGCCGCCCTCAGTGAGCACAGCTGGGGGTAGAGCTGGCACCATCTGGGATGGCTGCACCTGGGAATGCTCCCCTCTGGGCAAGGGTGCTGGGGGCCTGGCCACAGGTTTTCTTTGGTGACAGTAGGGACAGGCTGGGTAGCAAACAGATGTGCTGCAGGCCTTCTGGGTTACTACTCGCTGCACTGACATTAAAGGCCGAAGGTTGTTAAGAACCACCTGGATTGTGTGCAGGTACAGGCTGTTAGGTTAGTGGCTGTGGTGGTGACGCTGCGTTCGCTGTTTTCCCCTGGCAGCTTATTCCTAGTAAGGAGGAGTCTGTCTGCCTTCCCAGGTCTAACAAGCACCAGAAGGTGACTTTCCTTATTTTGTTGCGTGGGTGCTCTAGAGTCAGCAGATGATTGCGGACGGTTTGCAGAAAGCACCGTTCTGTTTGGGATGTGTTGCTATCCCCTCCACTCGAGGGCAAGGGCTTCACCTTCACTTTCTATCCCCGGCAGACGGTAGGTACCTGTAGATGTTTCTTCAATTGCCTTGAGGACAAGCAGGCAGGTTCTTTTCATTTTAAAGAAACTGGACCAGGAGAAACTGGCCCAGATAAGAAAAAACCAAGACACTCCTCCAAGATTTTACAATTTCTGTGCCTAGCCAGTAGCATGACCCTCGCCTGCGCATCCTTTTATTCTGGGTTGATCCTCATCTAATCTCCTCAGCACTCAGATAAAGCCTTTGCGCGAAGCGTTGTTGGGTAGCAAGTGCTGTTTAGAAGCACTCCTTCCTGTCTTTCCTGTGAGCAGGGCTAGAGCCACATTCCGTCCATCTTGGCTCCCCCATGGCCTGGCGTGGGATGGGTCGGAGGTTTTCTCTGAATGGTTGTTGAAGTGGATCAAGGTGCCCTTGTCAGAACCATGGATGTGAACCAATGCAGTGGCTCTCAGCCGGGTTCAGGGCGACCT